TCAGCCCACCTGACTGTAGTCACATTGTTTTATGGAACAATGATTTGTGTGTATTTTCGACCATCATCTGCATATTCTCTTGTATATGATAAACTTGCAGCAGTTCTATACACAGTCTTCACCCCAATGCTTAATCCATTTATTTACAGTTTGCGAAATAAAGACGTAAAGAGCGCATTTAAGAAACTCATACATTCTAATATATACTCTATATGTAGCTGAATCAAAGATTTAATAATACATAATAAATGTAATCTTTGGAAGTTATGTTGGCACATGCGTTTACACCTTGGGCTGGGAGAGCAAGAAGAATACATAATGGCATCAATGACCTTCCATTGTCAGCCTGGAGTTTGGCTTTAATGTAACATTACTAACTGCAAATTAAATATAAAATTAAAGTGGGCTTGTTAGTAATTTTACACATCTGCATACATTTCAGACATGCCACAGGAAACATTTAGGGCCCATTTCCACTACTGCATTTTGGCAAAACTTGTATCTTTGTACTGGGGTGGTATGAATTCTGAATGCAACCTCAACACACCTTACTGAAGTACATTTGTTGGGGTGCACTGCCGAAAATTCTGTATGCATGATTTTTGAGTCACTGTGGTCCAATGATCAGACCAAATGACATTGCCCTAACACAACACATTAACTCTTGACAGTGTGCATTAACACACTTATATTTTACACACCACAGCTGACCAGGCTGCTGTGTATGGGCCCTTAATATTTTTCAGAAAAGTTCCAATCTTTAAAAAAAAAAAGAAATCCTTGATCTCAAACCATTGTCCTTCCCAGGGGCAAGATGCCATGAGTATGCTGATGGCTGCTTTCCCAGTAATCAGACTTTATAACTGTAATCTTGTTGCATTTCACATGGCGAGAGAGTGCAGGGGATCATCTGTGTCAGACATTTGTAACAAGAACTGCAGGGTTTACATGGGTGTGTCATTTCATCATCTCAGTTCAGTACGTGGATACTGACCATGGATGCTGATCAAAGAAATATGAAGAAAAAAGGCAGAGATAGTAGGGATATGTGTCAGGGGGAGTTGTGAGATCTCCGCGAGTGATAAATACCTAGAAATATTACACTTGCATATGATCTAGCATCCAAAAACAGTTTAAAGTGATAGTAAAATGTTCAAATATTTTTATTTGTAAATAACAATCATACTTACCCACTCTGTGCAATAGTTTCGCACAAAGCAGCCCCGATCTTCCTCTTTTGGGGTCCCCCACTTGCCCCCCTGGCTCCTCCCCGCCAATGAGTGTCCCATAACAAGCTGCTTGCTAGGGGAGAACTTGTGCGGGCATACTTCTAAGCCATGCTCTGTGGGTCCATAAAACACACAGACTGTGGTGCAGCCCTATCTCTCCGCCCCCCCTTGGCTGTGATTGACAGCAGTGGGAGGCAAAGGCTCCTGCTGCAGTCTCTGAGCCACTGTTCTCATGCACATCACTGTATCGAGATTGGGCTCAGATAAGTATTCGGGGGGCTGAGGGGTGGAGCTGAACTCAGAAAAAGCCTTTTTCAGTCTTTACAACCATTTCATTGGAGGCCAAGTCCACTATAAGATAACCTATTGTTAGAAGCAAAAAAAAATCCTCTAAAAAATTTAAAAGAACTCCGTTAATGTAACTGCCTTGAAAATCCATTGACCAATAAGCAGCTTGATGACAAAAAAGGGAGCTGTACACAGTGCAGTCATCTTGGCTATGCAAGGTGGTAGAATTGTGTGAATCAGAAGAATTACAAGGAACAATAGGTCTTATACACCTGACGCAGTCTTTTGCCATGAGTTTATCTTTAAAGTAGAATTTAAGTCTACACCTATTTTTTCCCTCCCCCTTCCTTACACCTATGCTGACCAACCTGTGCAAGAAATATTTATATACTTCCCTATTTCCAGCCTGTTCCAGTCCAGTCATATGATCCCCTGTGTCAGCTGCAGGGGAGAGGAGATAATGCTCAGCAATGACGTGTGGGAGTAGTGACATTACCCATAGACGCCCATCCATTGTCACCGCTCCCTCCTTTCCCCTGCAGCTGTCATTGACTGACACAAGGGGGCCAGAGTGGCCTAAAAATCTGGCCAAGTATTTATGTTTATCCTGGATTTCTACTTCAACTGCTTTTGGAGGACCTCAAACAGCCATGTCAGGCTCAGGACAGGCTCCTGCAATGAAAGTGCTTCACATAGAGGAAATATTGGCCTATGCAATAACGTATCCCATCTCAGCTATAGTTTTAATTTGTTTCTGAAAAATGTACATTAAAAATTGTAAATATATTAACAATTCATAAATATATATACACCAACATGTGTTCAAGACTTATTGGTCCTTTAATATAGAAAGTAACATTTCCAATAACTCTAAACATGGATATTTCACTTTGAGCAATACGAATCTGCTGTACAAAATAATCCTGTATATGCATAGAAGGCTGCTCGCCATCATGACGCTGTGTTTATTTATACTTTGCTATAAACTTTCTTCTAAACTCAAGTCAGTTGATAGAAGTTTATCTGTAATGTCTAGTAATGCAGCTAGGCTTAGGGTAGATTTCTACTTTTGCAGCCAAGTTGGGTTAGCACTCGTTTTCAAATTTGGTTTGGGGTTTCCTGGAATTGTCTGGAATGACACTTTAACAGCATTCCTTGCTAGCAGCTAACAGTCCCCAACCAGTGGTCCAGACGTCACATGCTGCTCTCAGCTGTCCATCGGATGAGCTTACTTTTGTGGCAGCTTCTTAGCAGGTCTTTAGTTTTGAAATACCTGCCGTACATGAACACTTGCTGCATATGAATTTGACTGGCTTCAGGTTGATGAGAATTATACAGACTCACTGAAAAAAAACAAAGATGAAAGCTGAATGCTGGGATAAGGAAATATTGCCGGAATACAAGAGATGTGTATTCTTCCTTGAATCTTGGTGTGATTTGTCTATTTCTTCCAGATCTGTGCAGCAACCCTGTGTGAAACCTTGTCTCTCTGTGGGAACTTCCTGTAATAAAGGCCAATCACCGCTGCTCTCTCTCCTTGTGCAGGGTGACTAGTCTCCGCCCCCTCCTGTAGTTTTCTACAGGCAGTCTGTTGTGGGTGGGACCTGCTTTGCCCCTCCCACAGTTATGTGCTCTAAATGGCACAGTGATGATGTTACCACTACTTTTACAAGGTAATATCTTGGTTTATAAAAGGCATTTGGTGCACACAAAGTGGTTTTTAGCCTTTGTTAGTACAGAGAAACTACTAAATCTTTGTGCTGGGAGTTCAGCTTTAAAGGCCAAAGCCCCTCCCAGTCATTTTTTTACTTTTAGATAATTAGCATAAATAGCGGTAAAAACTTTACAAACCTATTTCTGCTGTCAAATCTAAATTATTTTTTTTTTTAGCTGGAATTGAACATCCAGATGTTTACTAAAGCAAAAATACAATTATTTCTTTAGAAATCGGTTCCTTTTTTTTTTTTTTTTAAAGAACTTTCTCACACTCCTTGATCACCTCATCTGCACAGCCTGCAAAGCACATCAACATTTGTGTATGTCGCCATGCAAATGTTAAGTACACCATCTGCACAGTAACAATTGTAACACGAGGACAGTAATGTAGGAGAGGTGTCAGCCTACCCTGCTTACCATCTCAGCAACTCAAACATGGGCAGAAAAACATGTTGCATTTATGATGCCATTATTTCTTAATGGCAACCCAAATATGGATACTAGCAGCACATTTTCTGCACACAAAATGCACACACCAAATGCGCTCAACTCAGTGCCAAAATATGGCACTTGAGCTTCTGTGGCGTATCTGTCACACGACACGCAGACCATTCAAGTTAATGGGCTGCGGCGTCCAAAACGCGCTAAAAACGCACGATGCATCACTACATCCAGATGTGAACGTAGCCTAACAGATGTAACCTTATTTCCTTTTGAACTGCCGGTAAAGGGCAGAACTTGCTGGCACAGAGGGGATTGTTAAGACAGGCATGACAGGAGGAGAGAGTTTGGCTGATTTCTCCATGAAAGTGACCTAACCATAATATTTTAATGGTCCAGGCTGTGAAGCCCTGTGGCCACATTTACCTCGTGATTTTTGGATTTTGGCCAATTTTAATGCTGCATCTCACATTTATAATTTATGCAACCAGAAATAGGTAAAATCGAGGGTCATGGTTTAACTAGCCTTGACAAGGCTTTAAAAAAAAAAAACAAAACTGCTACATGCAGCTGGGAATGGACTCTTTCACCTACTTTAACTTCCAACAGCCTGGAGAGATTGTTTTTAACATAAAGCTAATGCAGGTTATTAAAAGGGGGCATCCAATGTTGATGGAGAGGAAATACAGTTTATAAAACAGCTATTCCTAGAGGTAAGGGTGCATTATCATAACATTTCAGAGGGCAAATTACTAATTCTACAAAGAAATTCTTGACTGTTCAGAAAAGGTACAGAACAGAGGAATACATGGCTGTAGAACCCCTATATCTGCAAAAATAGAAAAAAAGGGCAGTTGCTGGCCTTGTCATACACCTCCTTTTCAGCATATAATATTCCTAACCATTACAAGTGCTGTTTAAATGAAAAAAAATAAAAGATTTCCTAATTGGTGCACCATCATGGGCCTTAAGAGATGAATTCTGATTTCAGAGGATGCTGCACTTTGCATTACATCCATTTGTGATATTCAGGTAGCGCTCACAGACACAGCAGGAGACCTCTGTAATACGCTAACAGAAAAGGAGTGACAGCATTTAGTGTGATTACTAAAGCTGTGAAGTCTCAGAAATGTCATATGGCAAACTGAATGTAAATGTCCCAAGATTGTGGGGAGAGAAAACAAATAAATAAAAAGCAATGAGGCGCTATACACGTTAATAAAAAAAAAAAAACCCTAAAATAAAAATTATAATATTAACAAATATGGTATAAAAGTCATTTTGTAAATTACAACCAGAACATATCCAGATCAGTGGAAGGTGTCCTTAGCTTTGAGTTCTCTGAGTTACTCCAGGGACTGGGTCTCCACAAATTAATGTTACTGTTCCATCGAATAAATCCTCCATGCTTACTGCTACTAGTTCTGTAGCGGTAGTTTGGTTGGTTTGGGAATCTGGTAATGCCACAATTACTTGGGAGCCAGCCAGTTGTGATTCATCCAAGGTGATCACTTGCTCTGTAGTAGTGACTTGATCCTGGGTCTGTATAACCTATGGAGATTACAAAGCAGGTTTAGAAGTTACAAGCCTATTGTTAAAGTGGATGTCCCTCCCCAGAGATTGCACAGAATTTAGACGTCTCCTACTTATTCACAGTGTCAAACATTGGTGTATACTTTCACATCTTCTAGAGCACAGGTGAGAAATCATAAGGCCCGCGGTCCAAAATAGGCCCTCCAGGCCTTTTGGTGTGGCCCTTGCACCCCACCTTGTTTTAGCAGTCTGCAGCAGAAATGAGAAGAGAACTCCTCTGCCAAATCCTGCACCTTTCAGTGCAGCTGCAGCGCCCCCTCATCTCTGCCTCCCCTGGTCTCAGCATTCAGCAGACTTGGGTAACAGACTGCACTCCTCCTCTGGTCCTATTCTAGACCCTGCAGTTTCTGCTTTCAAACACTGCCCCCAAAGAGGGTGTACGGTGATGTGAGGGAGGGTGTGCGATTCTTGACATCTGATGTACTGGGGGGTGGGGTGCTCTGGACATCTAGTCTTACAGATACAACCGGCCCTTTGAGGGCAACCATAATGCTGATATGGCCCACAATGAAATGGAGTTTGACACCCCTGGTCTAGAGTTGCCCTAGGGTGGCACAGTTCTGGATGGATGTCTTAGAACTCATTAACATTCATCTTCAGCTGTCCCTCCCAATCTCACTACAGCTGGCTCTACTAGACATCCAGGATGATACGCAAACGACTCGCTACACTAAAGTTGTTGGTTTCCTATTTATGGTATTATGCCAAAAAGGAAATATTCTGGAAAGTGGAATGCACCATCCCTCCCCTCTGAGGCCTCATGGGAGGATTTGATTAATGCTGTACTACCCATGTATAAACAAACATACTGTATATCAATAGAAATTGTCTCAAGTAGTATGATAAGATTTAGCAGTCATGGATAGCCCAGTGATTGTCCTTTGCTACCTCCCTATGGTGACTTGCATGGCTGCTGAATACTGCCGCCTTATTTGAATTTGTTTTATCTTTCTATTATTCAGTGCTGATTTGATTACATTTGTTTTCCCATTATAGGTTGTATCATACAGCACCACTACTGCACTTTGTGACTATTTGAACCACTATGTCACTTGCTGTTATTGTACCATGCCTATGCCTTCAATAAACCTGATTTTTTTTTTTTTTTGTAACAAAGTCGAAGTTCAGTCTAGAACAAACGAAGCTTAAAATGATTCCCACCCCCTTCCTAACACCCATTCTAAATACCCTGTAGAGCAAAGATGCTCAACTTGCCTAATCTCAAGGCGTTGTGGTCACAGTCAGCTCCCAGCAGGCGGGTTCAGGGAAGAGTAGGGACAACAGATAACAAATGAGTCACAGTAAGCCTATGGGTGATGTCACCGCCCATGCATAGGAGTTGTCGGCACTCTCTCTTCTTCCCTGAAGCCGGTGCTGAGACCACATGACCGGACCAGAATACTTGCTGTGGGGGCACCTGAGCAGGCGCACTCTCAAGCTACACCTCTGAGTGTCCATTCACACACAGAGCAGCGGCTCGGCCTTGCCCACTCCCTTGACTGGCTCACTGGCTGTGATTGACGGCAGAGGGAGCCAATGACTTCTTCAGCCAATCGAGAGAATCCCTGGAGAACCGAGGCTCTTGTGGAGATTTCTGAATCGGGGTGGGGCTCAGGTAAGTGTTCGGAGGGGCTGCTACACACAGACGTTTTTTACCTTCATGCATAAAATGCATGAAGATAAAGAACCTTGAGCCTTTAGAACTCATTTACATTTTTGTTTTTGCCTTTAATACGATTTCAAGAATTTAACACGTTAACAGACAATTTCTGGCATGAAAAAACTTTGCCAAGTACACATTTCTAAAATTACAAAAGAATCACATACCTGTACAACCTGAGCATTTTCTGTGTCGGTTTCTTCTATTACAATGTTGGGGTGTTCATTTTCATAGTGTCTCTCCAGCAGAGTCTGGGAAGTAAAAAGTTCCCCACACAGTTCACAACCAAATGTGTTCTCCGTCTCATTAAAGTGGTTGGCAGCTACATGGTGCTGCAAGGCTCCAGGAAACTGGAAACACTCACTGCAGTAAAGACACTGGAACGGCTGGGACCCTAAAATGAATAGAAGGCAAAGTCAAAGTTACACAATAATGAATGTATGATATGCAAATAATAAATAATCATAATTTTTTATATGAAAATCTTTACACAATAATTGGGTGAATATTCACATCAGTTATCCAGTCATGTGAAATGAAAATTCATGTTTACTTGAATTATATGCACACGATTGGATAATGAAAGTAAAAATTCACATTATTTTATTGTGTGAATACTTTCAAACTCCCTTAACCACTTCCCGTCCAGCCCATGTACAGTCAGGTCCATAAATATTGGGACATTGACACCGTTCTAACATTTTTGGCTCTATACACCACCTCAATAGATTTGAAATGAAACAAACAAGATGTGCTTTAACTGCAGACTGTCAGCTTTAATTTGAGGGTATTTACATCCAAATCAGGTGAACGGTGTAGGAATTACAACAGTTTGCATATGTGCCTCCCACTTGTTAAGGGACCAAAAGTAATGGGACAATTGGCTTCTCACCTGTTCCATGGCCAGGTGTGTTATTCCCTCATTATCCCAATTACAATGAGCAGATAAAAGGTCCAGAGTTCACTTCAAGTGTGCTATTTGCATTTGGAATCTGTTGCTGTCAACTCTCAAGATGAGATCCAAAGAGCTGTCACTATCAGTGAAGCAAGCCATCATTAGGCTGAAAAAAACAAAACAAACCCATCAGAGAGATAGCAAAAACATTAGGCGTGGCCAAAACAACTGTTTGGAACATTCTTAAAAAGAAGGAACGCACCGGTGAGCTCAGCAACACCAAAAGACCCGGAAGACCACGGAAAACAACTGTGGTGGATGAGCGAAGAATTCTTTCCCTGGTGAAGAAAACACCCTTCACAACAGTTGGCCAGATCAAGAACACTCTTCAGGAGGTAGGTGTATGTGTGTCAAAGTCAACAATCAAGAGAAGACTTCACCAGAGTGAATACAGAGGGTTCACCACAAGATGTAACCCATTGGTGAGCCTCAAAAACAGGAAGGCCAGATTAGAGTTTGCCAAATGACATCTAAAAAAGCCTTCACAGTTCTGGAACAACATCCTATGGACAGATGAGACCGAGATCAACTTGTACCAGAGTGATGGGAAGAGAAGAGTATGGAGAAGGAAAGGAACTGCTCATGATCCTAAGCATACCACCTCATCAGTGAAGCATGGTGGTGGTAGTGTCATGGCGTGGGCATGTATGGCTGCCAATGGAACTGGTTCTCTTGTATTTATTGATGTGACTGCTGACAAAAGCAGCAGGATGAATTCTGAAGTGTTTCAGGCAATATTATCTGCTCATATTCAGCCAAATGCTTCAGAACTCATTAGACGCCGCTTCACAGTGCAGATGGACAATAACCCAAAGCAGACTGCAAAAGCAACCAAAGAGTTTTTAAAGGGAGAGAAGTGGAATGTTATGCAATGGCCAAGTCAATCACCTGACCTGAATCCGATTGAGCATGCATTTCACTTGCTGAAGACAAAACTGAAGGGAAAATGCCGCAAGAACAAGCAGGAACTGAAGACAGTTGCAGTAGAAGCCTGGTAGAGCATCACCAGGGATGAAACCCAGCGTCTGGTGATGTCTATGCATTCCAGACTTCAGGCTGTAATTGACTGCAAAGGATTTGCAATCAAGTATTAAAAAGTGAAAGTTTGATTTATGATTATTATTCTGTCCCATTACTTTTGGTTCCTTAACAAGTGGGAGGCGCGCATATGCAAACTGTTGTAGTTCCTACACCGTTCACCTGATTTGGATGTAAATACCCTCAAATTAAAGTTGACAGTCTGCAGTTATAGCACATCTTGCTTGTTTCATTTCAAATCCATTGTGGTGGTGTATAGAGCCAAAAATGTTAGAATTGTGTCGATGTCCCATTATTTATGGACCTGACTGTATATAAACAACCGGATGGTGGCAGTGCAGGGGCGGGTTGCCATTCATAAATGGCGCCCGCCATCTTGGACTGTGCGCGCTCCCTGGGAGCGCACGGCACCGCGATCCGGTGCCTGCTGTGTCCGCTGTACGGGACCTCTGTGTGAGGTCCCGATCATGTGATCACTGATTGGCCAATCAGTGATCACATGAATAGGAGTAAGCAAGATGTCACTTCTGCCATCATTGCTTACTACTTGTACCATATGAGGTCTGTGATCATTCACAGATTTCACAAGGCTATTCACAACAGCCTTGTACCATGTGACAAGCTGTGACCAATCACAGCTCACAGAGAATTTCTCAATAGCTGCAAGAATGCAGCCAGAGAGAAGGAGAAATGATTGCTTTTACACCCATAAAGGCTGTAAAAGCAATCAGTGTAAAAAAAAAAAAACGCCATCACCCCCAGTGAAAAGTAAAAAATTTTTTTTTTTTTTAAAAAATTATCATTTTTGGTTATAAACTAATTTGGGTTATTTTTTTTTTTTTACTAAAAAGATAACCGAATACATTTTGCCCTTGATTTATGAAGAAAGATTGTTTATTTGCAAAATTTTATAAGAAAGTTTTCTTCAAACTTTTTGGACTTTCATTTATATAGCAGAAAAAAAAATCCCAGTGGTGAATAAATACCATCAAAATAAAGTTTTATTGGTCTCAAAAAAATTCATATGGGTACAGTGTTGCATGATCGCGCAATTGTGATTCAAAGTGTGATATCATTGAAAGTTGAAAATTGGCCTGGACAGGAAGGGGGGTTAAAGTGTCCGGACAATCAACCCACTTATTTTAGCATATGATAAGCAGATTTTTTTTGTAACCACTCAAAATTAACAAAAAAAAAAAAAAAAAAAAAACCCAAAACATGACAAGCATGTGAAAAAAATCACATAAAAAAAAAAAAAGGTTAATAAACTAAAAATATGTGCTTACTGAAAAAGACACAGAGTCTAAAACTGGAGCACTCAGAATTTGGTGCAGCTGTGTATGGTATCCAATCAGCTTCTAACTTAAAGCAGCGTTCCAGCTGAAAAAAATAAATATAAAAGCAGCTACAAAAACTGTAGCTGCTGACTTTTAAAATACAGACACTTACCTGTCCCTAGGTCCAGCGGTTTCACTGGTTGTCTTCTCTCCCCGGCGCCGGCATCTTTAGTGTGGGTACCCGGCTGTGACAGCTTGCGGCTTCACAGCCGGGTGCCTACTGCGCATGCGTGAGAAGCGTTGCGCTTTGTGAATGGCCCCGTAGTCTTCAAGGACCTGTCACATGTCCCAGAAGACTATGGGAACAGAAGGGGAGGACAACTTCCACTTCCGATCGCCTAGGACTTCACAGTGGAAGTGGGTAATTGCCAAATTCAGGTACCAGCTCCCTCCCCCCCCTTTCCCCAAAAGGTGCCAATCCTTAATGGGTAGCGGGGAACAAAGACTTAAAACAGAACTTCCTTTTTTGGGTGGAGCTCCGCTTTAAACGTGTTCAACTAAGCTTTGACAACAAATAGAAATGGATTAGTTTCTATGCAGAGCTACACCAGATTTTGCACTCTCCAGGTTTAGTAAATAACCTCCTATGTGCTTTAACATTACATTCTGCTTTCTGCTCGACACTTTAGTATTTCTGCACACTGTGGCCTACACTGCAAGCATATCTAAACTCAAAGGAAAAAATGGAATACATTGCAGCTTACTAATCCTTAAAGTGGTTGTAAAGGCTCAAGGTTTTTTTTTACCTTCATGCATTCCATGCATGAAGGTAAAAACCTTCTCAGTGCAGCACCTAGCCCCCAGCCCCGCCCCCCCCCAATACTCACCCAAGCCCCCCTCTCGATCCAGTGAGGTGCACTGGAGTCTTGGCCATCCTGGGACTCTCTCTCCTCATTGGCTGAGACAGAAGCAAGAGTCATTGTCTCCCACTGCTGTTGATCACAGCCAGTGGGCCAATGAGATTAGAGAGGGGGCAGGGCCAAGCAACAGCTCTGTGTGAATGGATACACAGAGCAGCTGGTGCCCCATAGCAAGCTGCTTGCTGTGGGGACACCCGACATGAGAGCCTGTGGAGGATCCAAGAAGAGGAGGATCAGGGCCTTTAGAATCACTTTAAAGTGGTTGTAAACCTCAGTCATGAAATCTGAACAAAGCATAAATATATTTGATATATATCTATCTATGGTGTTTACATGTACTTCCAAAGTTCATAGTCAGTCTCTCTCTCTCATAGCCTGCACGTGTAACAAAGATATTTAATACATGAGGAAAGCCAGGTCACATATCATCAGCCTCTCCTCCAATCATAGCATTAGAGAGAACCGAGAGAGAGAGAGAGAGAGAGAGAGAGAGAGACCGAGAGAGAGAGAGAGAGAGAACCGAGAGAGAGAGAGAGAGAGAGAACCGAGAGAGAGAGAGAGAGAGAACCGAGAGAGAGAGAGAGAGAGAGAACCGAGAGAGAGAGAGAGAGAACCGAGAGAGAGAGAGAGAGAGAGAGAACCGAGAGAACCGAGAGAGAGAGAGAGAGAGAGAACCGAGAGAACCGAGAGAGAGAGAGAGACCGAGAGAGAGAGAGAGAGAGAGAGAGAGAGAGAGAGCGTGTCAGCAAACAGCCTGTCTATACAGAGCATAGCTCCTGTGTGCAGGGAGTGTATCCCTTTCCTCTAATCAGCTCTCAGAGCTTTTACTGCAGCTCCCTGCCCCCACCTCTGTGATACTGACAAATTCAGAAGGATTTTAAAATCAGCCCTTTTAAAAGGGATGTAGAAAAGAGAAGACTGCAGATAATCAAGTAAAACTTATGTATTAGGATTTGTTTCATCTCTGTGTATCACCTGAGGCCAATCGCTTCACTGGGTATATGAGAGTGTTTACAACCACTTTAAATACGGTGGCTGCATTAAGGTTCACCTTCAGCAGCCTATGCAGATAAGAGATGTCTATAGATAAACTGTGCAGCGTTGACCAAGTTGAACATAGCCAATGCTATAGGCGTGGGTCATTTAAGTACCTCATGAAGCCTGAGTGGAAAACTCCTAGGACATTGCTAGTGACATAGTGATACCTGTTACTGTGCACCTTCAACATCACAGGAGTGAGCTATTTCTTTGATTCAAACCCCCTCACATGCTCTCTCTCGCTCTCCCCCCCCTCACATGCTCTCTCTCGCTCTCCCCCCTCACATGCTCTCTCTCGCTCTCCCCCCTCACATGCTCTCTCTCGCTCTCCCCCCTCACATGCTCTCTCTCGCTCTCCTCTGATGCAGTAGCTCTGAGCTCAGTGTTTGAGAGCTCACTCTTGTGGTGGTGAACAGTAACAGCTAGGTATCTCTCAGCAACGTCCTAGGAGTTTTTCAGTCAGGCTTTAATTTGTTAGTAAAGGCAATCTAAATATGCCATTGCATCTAATACTGCCCTATACACAAATTGATAATACTGCTGTCTCCGCTGAGTCTCCATACAGTGACAGGCCAGATCACTAGGTCAAAATAAAGGCAAAAAAAAAAAAAAACTAATGCAGCAGTGACCACATTTAGAGACTAGCAAGCTGCAATATATTATATTTTTGTGTTTAGATATGCTTCATTGTACCATTCGTAAAATGCAGGCTGCAGGGTGGAGCCTGCGGTGTCTTAAGGGGTTCTCTCTAATGCTATGATTGGAGGAGAGGCTGATGATATGTGACCTGGCTTTCCTCATGTATTAAATATCTTTGTTACACGTGCAGGCTATAAACAGACACTCCCACCATTCACTCTACATTTTCCAACTCATCTGAAATTTTCATTACAGAGGATGTTACTTGCCTGAGTGTTTGCATTTTATGTGAACTTGTAGTGCTGCAGATGTGGGGAAGGTCTGCTTACATTTTTCACATTCATATCCCTTCCCATCTGAAATGGAAAAGGGGTGTTATTGTTAACACACACATGAAAGCTGTAAAATATGGGACAGCAAGGCATCACCTCGCACAGTTACAGTCTAATCATCATAGAGCTGACCTGCCCACGATTTTACAATTAATGAGACAATTACAACAATTATGTTCTTTGCTTATACGTGCATACAAAGTGGAATGTAACTTCCTGTATTGAGTTTTCATTGTGGCAACTGGGTGATGATCCAATTGGATGCAATTCTGAAAAGTTACCCTGAGCCTGGCCACGTGCAGCCGGAGCGTCACAAGTGATGTGATGTATACAAGTATCCTGCATAACAACCTAGCCATAGAGAGCAATTAAAGTGGTTCTAAAGGCTCAAGGTTTTTTATCTTCATCCATTCTATGCATGAAGGTAAAAAATCTTTTCAGTGCAGCATCCCCCCCAAATACTCACCAATGCCCTCTGAATTCAGCGATGTGCACTGGAGTCTTGGCTATCCAGGGACTGCCTCTTCTCATTGGCTGAGATAGAAGCGGGAGTCATTGGCTCCCACTGCTGTCAATCAGAGCCAATGAGAAAGAGGGGCGGGGCTGAGCTGAGGCTCTGTGTGTAAATGGGCATCGAGTGCCCCCATAGCAAGCTGTTTGCTGTGGGGCACCTAACAGGAGGGAGGGGCAAGGAGCGTCGGCGGGAGACAGAGAAGAGAAGGATCTGGGCTGCTCTGTGCAAAACCACTGCACACAGCAGGAAAGTATAGACACATTTGTTATTTTTTCTTTAAAAAAAAAAAAAAAAAAAAAGCCTTTAGAATCATTTTAACGTGCATTTTTGAATACTGGACAATGGAAAACCTCTTTCCAACTACTAGCCATTTATTACTTTTTCTACAAAGGAAAGACTATAAAGCTATTGCCACATGGGCAATATCTGCCAGCCAAATTAGAAAGAAACTATTGGTCTATGGGAAATCATTCAAAGAAGAACAGTGTCACATCCACCTGTATACGCCACTCTTAAAACTAATATTTCAAACATTTTCTTACATTTTAAAAATAAGGTAAATGGCTAGACGTTTTATCAGGTTTTTATTCATGTCGGTGTCCTCCACTGGGTATAATTTTCTCATTCTTGTCCCTATCTTAAAGTGAGAGAACTTTAACAGCATTTGACAGACCTTTCTTGCTCAACAAATAAAAAATATTGGTATAATGTGGTCTGGCACAACAGACATTACACTTCACTTCTTGGCTTGGTGACACTACAGCAAGGAAGAGAATAACTCTTCTTTGGAGCATGGGCAGCAGAAAAAAAAATGAAAAGACTCAACAGAATATGACCTTTCCCGATTCCTAACAGTCGGAGCAAAACTAACAAATGCAGCCACATCCAATGTTGAGTCATGGCAGTAGCCAGTTTGTGAAACAATCCAATATTCAAGAAAATGTCATGTACTGGAACAATGACTGTGGTACACTCACCGGGATGCTCTAATTTTGTGTGTTTCTGGAGTGTCGAGGTGTTAGAGAAAACCTGTTCACAGGAACTACACTGTGCAGCAGAAAACTTGGAAGAACGATGATTCTGAGCAGCAAACAGGTCTGGATGATGTGTGCGGTTGTGGTACCATAAGCCGGACAGTTGCTGGGAAAAAAACAAAAACAAAAACACAACATGATATATTCCATTATACCAGAGGATTTGATAGAACCCCCACAGATAGCTGTAAGGGATATATTTCAGTCCAGCATGTAAATGATCTATTAAAAACTTAGCAAGGAGACACTATGGGGTTTATTTACTAAAGCTGGTTCACCCAGAATCTGGTGCAGCTGTGCATGGTAACCAATCAGCTTCTAACCTCAGCTTGTTCAATTAAGCTTTAGCAATAAAACATGGAAGCCGATTGGTTTCTATGCAGAAGTACACAAGATTCTGAGTTTAGAACATCAAGGCTTTTGGAGATACTTTTGTAACCCTTTCCAGCTTCATGCAAGTCAACAATTCTTGATCGTAGGTCTTCTGAGAGCTCTTTTCTGCGAGGCATGGTTCACATCAGACAGTGCTTCTTGAAACCAGTAAACTCAAAACAGGTGTGTGTTTTTTTAAGGGCAGGATAGCTGTCAGCAACACATCCAATATCATCACACTGATTGGAGTCAAGGTTGGCTCACTCCTGGCTCCAATTAGCTCTGGGAGAAGTCATTAAGCTAGGGCCTCACATACTTTTTCCTCCCTGCACTGTGAATGTTTACATGTTATGTGCAATTAAACCATGGCAACATCTAATGTTTGTGTAGTATTATGTTCAGCAGACTGCGTTCTTCTATTGTTGTGACTTAGATGACGTTCAGAGCACATTTTATGCCCAATTCATGCAAAACTCCACGTAATCCCAAGGGGTTCACATACTTTTTCTTGCAACTGCAGATGCAAGGGAGTGCAATTAGCACAATCTACAGGGAAAGTCAGATACTTACTATATACACACCAATCAGCCACAATATTATGACTACTGACAGATAAGATGAAGAACATTGATTTTTTTTTGTTACAATGGCACCTGAAAATGAATAGGATATTAGGCAACAAGTGAACATGTTGTCCTTAAAGTTGATGTGTTGAAAGCAGAAAAAAAATAGGCAAGCTTAAGGAGTTGAGCGACTTTGAAAAGGACCAAACCGCAATAGCTAGATGACTGGGTCAGAGCAACTCCAAAAACGGCAGCGCTTGTGCGATGTTCCCAGTCTGCAGTGGTCAGAACCAACCAAAAGTGGTCTAAAGAAGGAAAACTGGGGTCATTGGCAGCCAAGGCTCACTGATGCACATGGGGAATGAAGGCTGGCTTGTAAAGAAGAGCCGCTGTAGCTCGAACTGCTGAAAAAGTTAATGCTGGTTACGATAGAACAGTGTCAAGTACAAACACTGCATCAGTTTGTTGTTAATGGGGCTGTCTAGCTGCAAACAGGTCAGGGTGCCCATGTTGATCCATGACCACAGCCAAAAGTGTCCACAATTGGAAAGTGAGCATCAGAACTGGACCACAAAGCAATGGAAGAATATGGTCTATTCTGACGAATCACATTTTCTTTAACATCATGTGGATGGCTGGGTGTGTATGCATCACTTACCTGGGGAAAAGGCCAAGCTGTTAGAGACAGTGTGACACCTGAGGCAAAGTTCTGCTGGCAAACCTTTGGTCCTGCCATTCATGTGGATGTTACTTTGGAGTCCATGCCTCGATGAGTCAGGGCTATTTTGGTGGAAAACGGGGGTCTATTCAACATGAGGTGGGTGGCCATAATGTTATGGCTTATTGGTGTATAACTACAGTATAGAACACAAGGAGCCCAATCTGACTGATAATAGTTGTCAGGAGCTACTATTTAAAGGTATGCTGCAGTGGCTGTATATACATTTTAGTATAGTTTTATTAGGTCATGTTTTTAAAATGATATTTAATGTTTTATTTGATTTAAAAAAATTTTTTAAACAGACACAAAGCCTCAGATGAAGGAGTTCAGGAGGGAGCAAGAGGGGGATAAGCTGCTCCTTCAGGTTGACGTGTGTACATGTCTGCTTGAGTTACTGAGCTGTATAGGCGACAAGCTCCACCTTCTTAAAAAGAGAATACGCTTTTTCAGTTCTGACAGTAATTAAAAAAAAAAAAATATGTACACAACCCACTAAACATTCCCTTTCAGGTAGAAAGTTAAAGCCACCTACCTGATATGCCTTATCACAGATATCACAGTTGTAAGGCTTTCCCCCAACATGGGTGACAATGTGACGTTCTAGAAGAGAGGGGGCACTGAAAATCTTCTCACACGACGGACACGGGTGATATTCCTTGGAATGTACAACCTGAATGTGTTGTCTGTTCTCCTCCAAAGTTGGGAAACTCATTCTGCACACTTCTGACAGTCATATGGATCTTCAATGTCTGGAGAAAATAAATTAAATTTATCAGTTCATTTTAGAGGTTTTGCTTCACTTCTTGACCTAGCAAAAAAACAAAAAAATTTTTTTATATATATATAAAAAAATATAAAATATTTTAATGTCCACTGTTAATGAAAAACAGCTAATGCAAATTCCTAAATAAAGTGTATTTTAAGGCGAAACATTTTTTTTTTTAAATTTTGGATAGAGTAGAGAAAGACTAGAGCCCCTGACGGGTTTTTACTGCTATCCAAGGCTCTGTTAGAAAATCTGCAACAAAGCCACACAAATATAAATATACATCTGCCAAGGGTTCTAGCCTTTCCTTGCTCTACTAAAGAAAAACTGTTTATTTTATCTGCCTATGTTGTTGTTGGAGAGTTTTCCTCACTTCCTGTCTGGTAAAAAGTTGTGCGCAAGAAATGAGGGGGGAATCTCTATAACAGTGTCTGACATAGGGCATATGTTGGAGCAGTATGGCTTTTAACTGCTTTCCGTTTGCTCTCTCACACATATTTGAGATCTCTCTCTCTCTCGCTCTATATACACACACACACACACACACACACACACACACACACACACACACACACACACGATTTTGCACTCCTGGGTAGGGGGCATGCGTGTGCCCTACCCATACCACCAATCACTGGGTCCCGGCTGGTGATTACTTGCTGGTGCCCGATGATTGCTGAGGATTTCCGACGGAGAGGAGACCTATTTGTAAAAACAGTTCTCCTCCCTGTCAGCTCTGCACACTACATACAAAGCAGTGTGCTTACAGAGAAGCACAAACACACCCAGCACACAGTTAACCCTTTGATCGCCCCTCATGTTAACCCCTTCCTGCCCAGTGCCAATAATACAGTGTCAGTGTTTTTTTTTTTTTTAGCACCAATTACTGTATTGTGTCACTGGGGATGTCAGTGACACCAAGTTAGTTCCCCCCCAGTGTCAGAATCCCCGCCGCACTCCCGCTATAAGTCACTGATCGCCGCCATTACTAGTAAACAAAAAAAAAAAAGAAAACAAATTCCAGTATTATATACCTCCATTTGTAAATGCTAGAACTTTCATGTAAACCAATTAATTTACACGTATTGGGATTTTTTATTTAGCAAAGACATGTAGCAGAAAGCATTTTGGCTTAAATTTATGACGAAATTGGATTTTTTAAATTTTTTTACTGGACAGGTTGAAATAGCAAAAAGTCAAAAATATAGTTTTTTGTCTCAAAAAATTGTTGGTCTTTTTTTTTTTTTTGATAGCACAAAAAAATAAACAAATGCACAGGTGATCAAATACCACCGAAAGGTAGCTCAATTCGGGGGAAGGGGGTGCAGAGTTGCATGACCACACAATTGTCAATTAAAATAATGCAGCGCTGTAGCGCAAAAGATGGCCTGGTCAGGAAGGGGGGGGGGGGGGTAAATCCTCAGGAGGGCAAGTGGTTAAACATACTCCCCAGCTGCTATAGTAACCAGGAGTATGTTTACAACTGCCAAGTCAAAGAGACCCCTATTCCCCTCTCCATGTCCTGGTCTCCTCTGACCCACCGGCAGCCGCAGGATGGGCATGGTGGGTGTTGCTGGGTAGAGTATCTCTTCACTGACTTTCTCCTCTTTGGCTGGGGAATGAACCTTAAAGTGACCTATATTACATCTCCTGTGGGCTCAGAGATGTAATTCTCCTGACTGTTGTGACTGGGGAAGAAGCTAATAAGCACAAACTGTGGTATCAAAGTTTACTGCTGTGCAAACTTAAGGCTGGACATATTTATTCAACTCAACATCATCTTTTATATTTTATAAAAAAATGGGATCTATAGAATGCTTGTGGGCACAAACATTAACCGCTTCCATACAGGACACTTTTACCCCCTTCCTGCCCAGGCCAATTTTCAGGTCTCAGCGCTCTCACACTTTGAATGACAATTGCGTGGTCATACAACACTGTACCCAAACTAAAATGTTATCATTTTCTCCACACAACTAGAGCTTTCTTTTGGTGGTATTTAATCACCACTGGGGTTTTTATTTTAAACTGTACATTTTAACACGTGCAAAACATTTTTTAAAAATCCCTGTCAGCGAAAAAGTTAAAACAACGAAGAAAGGAATGTTCATTTCTGCTAAAACACCATGCTGCAGTTGTCGACACTGTTTTGGAAGGTGTTGGCTTGTCACCATGAAAAGTCATGACCTCCACCACAGTAGACACATCTATTACATCTTTCCTAAGAATAAAAAAAAATCTCACAGACAAAGGCAGACTGCCAGGAGATGTAGGATAAGAATGGCCAAAGAAGAATACAGCCCATTAATGCAGCTAATGTATTAGCAGAGCTTACTGTGGAATGTGCGCAGATGTATGGAAAGCCCATTGGCCTGGCTGAATCCTTTACCACACTCTCGACAGACATACGGCTTGTCTCCTGTGTGGGTCCTGACATGCCGTGTCAGCTCTATGGATTGCGCAAAGACTGCGTCACAGTACTGGCATACATACATCTTTCCTGGAATGAAAGAAAAGCATTGTCATACATTAGGGAAGGCAATAAGTGTTTGCTCCACTGAGAGACAAAAAAACAAACAAAAAAAAAACATTCATAAGTGATAAAGTGTCATCACACTGACGAACTGCAGGTTGACACAGGGAGACCCAATTACAAAGAAGCACAATAGAACTGCTTTTAGTTTAGATTCCCTTCGTCCAAAAGCAACCAAAACAACTGGCTAACAATTGCAGAGAAAAAAACCAAAACAATTATGGTGCAGTCCTACTTCACTGATGGCACCTGATTCATGGTGGCATAGTGAATAAAACTGCAGAAAGTCTACAAAATAAATACTGTTGTGCAGAAACTGCCTAGAGCAACATTATAAAAAACAGGGTTGTTGTAGGAATTGATGTTTATTACTGATCCTGTTATACCTTCCGAATGCTTCTTTTTGGTGTGGTAGGAGAGGGCGGCAGCTTGTGTAAATGTCATATGACAGTGCTTGCACACAAAGGGACGTTCCCCTGTATGGAGACGCTGGTGGTTTTTCAGGGTGGAATTTGCAGCAAACTTGGCACCGCACTCTTCACAGGAGAATGGCTTCTCATCAAAATGCTCTGTCCGCTTATGGTACTGAAGGCCTAAGCAACAAAACACAACACTCCTGTTAGAAAAAAAACTAGATTATAGGGCATGCATGTAGATTTTTTTTCTGTGATTTTTTTTCTACATTCATAAAGCCATTTTCTTTTAAGAAAAATCATGTAAAACCACTGCAGATGTTTCCTAAAACTTATAGGCAACATAATCCAAGAAAATATTATTTTTTTTTTCCCAAATATTTTTTTTTTCTCTGAGCAGAATAATGAACACAACCACTATACATTACCTTTGAAGCTCAAGTCTGTTTTTTTTTGTTTTATCCAGGTTCACTGGTTTCCTTCTAACACACTCCAAAGACTCCTGATAGGTTAATTGGCTCCTGTCTAAATTGGCCCTAGTATGTGTATGTATGAATGTAAGTTAGGGACCTTAGATTGTACACCCCTTGAGGATTAGGGACTGATGTGAAAGTACAATATATATGTAAACTGCTGCGTAAAATGACGCTATATAAGTACCTGAAATAAGTAATTTTTCTTCATAAATGTTAATCAAAATTTATACTGCTACATTTCCTTGATAAATATAACCGAAATCAGTGTATATTATTTGCTCTGTGTGAAGGTTATAGGGTCTACAAGCTATGGGTACCAATCATTGAAAATTGATCACATCCGATGTACTGATGGCCTATCCCCATTTCTTGAGGCCCCAACATGACAGGACAGTACAAATACCTCCAAAATGACCCCTTTTTGGAAAGTAGACAGTCTGAAGTATATAGTAAGAGGCATAGTGAGTTTTTTGAAATTGCAATTGTTTCCACAATTCTTTGGAAAAATTAAGAAAATAAAAAGGTTTTTTTTTCCCCCACAAAAATGTCATATTAAACAGAAGTTCTAGCATAAAAAAAAAATTAAAGTCAGCAGCTACAAAAACTGTAGCTGCTGACTTAAAATACAGACACTTACTGTCCCTCGGTCCAGCGGTTTCCTCACCACAGCTGGTTTCACTGGCAGTCTTCTCTCCCTGGCGCCAGCATCTTCAGTGTGGCCACCCGGCTGTGACAGCTTGCGGCTTCACAGCCGGGTGCCCACTGTGCATGCACGAGAAGCGATGCACTTTAAGAATGGCCCCGTAGTCTTCTGGGACCTGTCACGTATCTAAGAAGTCTACGGGGAGGACAACTTCCACTTCCAATCACAGCGGACGTGGGAGCGGGTACCTGTCAAATTCAGGTACCCGCTCCCCAAACCTGCCAATCCTTTGTGGAGAGCTGGGGACAAATACTTAAAGCGGAACTTCCCCTTTTGGGTGGAGCTCTGCTTTAAGTTATTTCTCACACATGGCATAGGCATACTCGCAACTACACCCCAAAACACATTCTGCTACTCCTCCCATGTATGGCGATACCCACATGTATGAGACTTTTTCACAGCCTAGCCACACAGATGCCCAACATCCAAGGAGTACCTTCAGGCGTTATAAACTTTAAAGACCAGGCCTCCTTCTGACACTTTCTTTTTACAAGTAAAAATATCAGTATTTTTTCTAGAACTTAGAACCCCCAAATATTATATATTTTTTTGCAGAGGCCCTAGAGAATAAAATGGTGGGTTTTGTGAATTTTTATGTCATGGTATTTTCACAGCAGTTTTTCGAACACCATTTTACATACTAATGCAAAAATACACTTTAATATATTTTATTGCACACAAAAAAAAAAAAAAAACTATATAATACCCATTTTTTTGTAAAATATAAAATATTGTGTTGCACCGAGTAAATTGATACCCAACATGTCATGGTTTAAAATTGTGCACGCTTGTGAAATGCTGCCAAACTTCTGTATTTAAAAATCTCCATGGACAACGCTTTATAAGCCTTTACCAATTACAGGTTACCAGTTTACAGTTACAGAGGTGGTCTGGTGCTAGAATTATTGCTCTCGTGCTGACGTTCACAACAAAACCTCACGTGTGGTACAATTTCCATTTACATATGCTTTAAATTTTTTTATTTATTGATGGGGCAGTGGTACACTGACAGATGTTGATCGCCCACTGGCGGACACCGACAGATGTTGAAGTTGCAATGGAACACAAATGCAGATGTTGATGTGACACTGGTATACTGTGACAGATGTTGCTGTGACACTAGACCAATACAGATGTTGTTGTGACACTTGGACAGGGCCAGATGGTGCTTAGTGTACTGTGTGGGGATGGCTGCAATCTGTGTGTTCTCTGCATAGCTGAACATTAAAATCATCAGATATGCAGAGAGCTGTCACAGGCTGCAGCATCCCCCTCTACCAACCTCCCCCTCGCAATGAGCTCAGCGGGAAGCTCTGACACGAGTCTCTGTTTATATTGAGTGATGGCTGTGATTGGGCACAATCATCACGTGATCGGGAGGGCCAGTCACAGCGCCCAAGCCCCATTCTGTGGTGTGCTGTATCCAGGGGACACAGCCATCACAGGATCACGCAGCCATGTGGCCCTTGTTCTAAGAGGACGTTCAGGAGCGTCCGCTTAAAGCGAGAAAGCTCCCACCTGGCCGTTTATGTGCAGTGGCCAGGTGGGAAGCAGTTAAGGACCCCCCCCAGGAAGAACGTCAGTCCTGATGTGACCAAACCTCTAAAAAAGGTAAAGTATAGAGAAAAACAAAGAAAAGCACTATTACTGCAGGGAAGGAGCTCCAGAGGGGTGGGTAACACAGGGGTAGAGGCCTGGGCCTTTAAACAGATGATGATAGAACATTTACTTTTAGTCGCCAAGCTGTCCTTAAGTCAGGTAGCTGGCTAAAGTAAAACTCAATGGCAAAGCTCATTCCAATACAAAAACTATTGTGTTACCTGATGGATGAGCAAACTCCTTGCCGCAAATGTCACAAGTAACAAGCATTCTCCTTTTGCCTTTGTTATTGCGTGAAATAAGGTAGCCATGCACTTCTTCTCTGTGCTGTTCCAGATCTTTCTTGGAGGCTTGTACCACATTGCAGTCCTTGCACTGTAAAGGATTCCTTTTGGCCATTCTGCAGCGCTTCATATGAACCTCCAGGCGACAACGGAAGAGGAAGATCTTATCACAGGACTTGCAGATAAAGTTTTTCTTTGAACCCTTTTCTTGTGCGAGTTCTGCCCTCTCTTTTTCAGAATCAATCTCTTCATTTTCATCATCCTTAGCTTCTTCATCCTCCTCATTCCTGTCACCAATCTCTTCAACAGCATCCATGTGACAGTCATTGCTGACGTTCCACTTGTCATCACTTTGGAAGTTGCACTTACCGTCCACCAGCAGCCCTAAAAAAAAAAAAAAAAAAAAAAAAAAAAAAAAAAAAAAAAAGAAATTACCACTTGAATATAAAGTGGAGCCTTGTTTTATGTTACAAGGAAATACTAAGCAAAAGAAATACAGGAAGATGCATTTCCTCATTCTCCCCAGCCCCAGTGCAAAGACTAACACTGTAAAGGATAATGGTTATGTTGCACTTATATAGAGTTGGCTGATGCCCACTTGTATCAATTGTTTGTTTACAGAGTTCAACAGGAAAAGCACAAATGCCTTAAAGGGAAACCACAGGGTGAATTCTAGCATATCTTCAGACATTCTGTCCAGCATGTATACAAGACTGAAGAATCTCTAGGAATACAAATAAAAATAGCAGAGGGCATGATCTGAGTGTAGTAAGGAGCATTTATTTATAAACATTGGCAAATTGCATATATAGTATCCACATCAGGTGTGTCCCATCCTAAAATTCCCAGTTTTCAGCGATTTGTTGGTAATCCAGGTGGAATCAGGGAGTGGCTGGTGAGGTTGATGGAGTGCACAGCAGACCAGAAGTGACATCACTTCCTGAAACATCACTGTGGGCAAAATGTTTGAAGGATGTATTCACCTGATATGGAAACTATGAGGCTGCGGACCTTCAGGCAGGCTACATTTAGACAAGAATACATAACTTTATTAATAGGAATCCTTAAAGTGGTAGTAAACTCCTTTTGTATACTTTTACCTACAGGTAACCTTATAATAGAAGCTTACCTGTGGGTAAAATGAATATGAATGATATTCGCGGTTTTTGAGAGCTGGCACATGCGCTCTGAAGGAACGGCATATTTGAGCAGTTTCTTCAGAGCACTGTCCCATGGCCCGGGACCCTCACGTGCATGTGCAGGACTGATGTCATCACAGCTTGGCCAGTAAGAAGGCCGTAGCTCACAAACCTGAAAGGAACACCGGATGAAGATGGAAGCCTCGGGAGCAGTGACAATGTACCACTGGAGGGCTTCTTTTTAAGGCAAGTCCCTCATAATGTGCGATGCATACTGGCACATTATGACATTGCCTTGCAGCGATTTTTTCTTCTTTTTAAGGTGTGGTTTACTACAGCTTTAAAGCAGAACTAAACTCACTCATTTAAGAGTTTCCAAAGACAATTACATTCAAGGCATTCTGTGAATGAATTTGTCATGGCTACTTGTGCGCTCAACTAACCTCGCAAGCCATCACAAACTAGGATGGAAGTTTCCTTGGCTGTAAAAGGATAGAAGGGTTAAACTCAGCCTTAATATCTGTCACAACATGGACAACTCAGTCTGCATTGGCTACTTCTGCAGAGGGTAAAAGATGGTGTTGCAATCTGGTCACTCTACATAGACTACACTATTACTGTGTGGAATCGGCTGTAGAACCAATGCAGATTTACTAGCAGAATATACTGACAGATGAAATCCCCTCACCATTTTCCTCCAATTCTTTGAATACAGGACTTAACTCCGGGGCAAAGTCTTTGGCAGAACACAGCAAGTGGCAGAATTTCATGACAGGGATGGTGTGGTGCAGTGCAGAACTCAGAACCATCTTTAAAGACAAATCTCCATCTTCTGCCTGGTCTGGGATGCTTAACAGCTGTAATAAACACAGTGGCTATTAGAATGCTGGGGTTGACAAGTGAATACATGGCCATTAAAATATTGCCTGTCACAGGATCAGTGCTGCAGACCAGTTAATTCTCCATAAGGGTTAATTCACACAAGATGCAGTTGGACAGCTATTTCTCTGTACGTTCACCGCAAGACAAGGCATGCCTTGTCTCCTGAATGCCCACTTCCCACAACTGCACCGCATAGGTGTGTGGTGGAATAAAGTACTGTGTGCAGTACTTTTTTTTCAAGCGCAGTGGGAGGCAATCTACTGCCTCGCACCACGCGGAGGTCAACTGAACTCATCGAAATGTCTGTGTGACATTTCAATCAAGTTAGTTTAAATTAAAGAAAAAAAAAAGTGAACAGTGTGATGCACCGGGAACAGCGCATCAGCTCTGCGGTGATCCTGCCGGACCTCACCGCTCTCCAGCCGCTGTGTTGTAACGCAAAGGAAGGTGTGAAACAGCCCTAAAAGTAGCGAGTTCGATGGGAGGCTATTGACAACGTAGATTCAGATTTCCCAGTATGGTCACTATATAAAGTATGTGAAGGAGAATAACTTGTGAGCCACATATAATAAACTGTGATATTAAGGTTCGCTGGCACTTGATCACATTCTCATTGACATGTGCATAGTTTAAAAATAGTTTACAAGGAAATGCTGCACTCCTGTAGTGGGTTGACAAATTAGTTTTTAATCTGTATAACAGAGTGTGATGATGATTGAGTAAATCAAACCAATTTTTCAATCCACTTGGTATGATTGGATAAAAGATTAAATATTTATAATTATATTGCAGTTTTGCATAGAATAATAAATGTGAGTATATCAAATAAATATTTGTGCAAAAATTAATGTGGAAAAATGAGTGTAGATTGCACTAACCACATAGCGCAAAGTTATGCGCATTTGAGTAATTAAACCACTCCTGGTCCTCTGGATAAGAAAAGATGAAAATCAAAGGATCATCTGGCCATCCAAGCGAAAAGACAGGAGATCAAATGGACATCATTCTCCAGGGGTCAGGAACACTCATCCATCCAGCAGGGGGATCACTCTCCAGGTAGCAGGTATCATGTACAAACACCAGGGGGTCACCTCTCAAAAATGGATGTGGAGCAGGACAAGAATCCACCTTGGGGGGGGGGGGGGGGGGTCGCAATAATCTGAGCCCAAACAAAAAAATGCTGATAGTGTAGTATGTTTTATTAATAAATGCCAAGCAAAAGTAAATCCAGGTAAAATCACTCCTAATGCGTTTCGTGCCCGAGCACGTTATCAAAGGGCAAGCCCTTTGATAACGTGCTCGGGCACGAAACGCATTAGGGAGGAGCCAGGGTGGTGACGTCACGCCGCACAGGCCACATGGTAGGTCGGCAGCCATTTTTACTACTGTCACAATAATGTGAGTGATTTTACCTGGATTTACCTTTGTAGATGTTCTCTCCCTCCTCATTGGCTCAGAGACAGCAACAGGAGCGAATGAGGAGATAGTAGGGGGCGGGACCGAGCCATGTGCTGTGTGTCAAACACACAGAGCAGCTCAGGAGCGAGCCCGATTGGGCGCCGCCATAGCAAAGGATTTGCAATGTGGCACTCACAAGGTAGAAGGAGCCATGGACACCAGCAGAGGACCATTGCAGAGCAGGTAAATATGACATGTTTGTTATTTAAAAAATAACCGAACTTTTACTATCACTTTAAATGATAAACATATACCTCTTTCACTAGGTCACTCAAGGCTTCATCTTCAGATGCCACTGAACCCAGGTGCTCACACTGCCGAAATGCTTGTGCAATTAATGAGCTGTGGTGAATCAAAATTTCAGCGACCTCACTTTCTCTATTTAATACTGTCATCAGAAAAAAAAAAAAAAAAAAAAAAAAAAAATCAGGTGAAGCATAGAAAAAGTAGCAGAGAGCGTAAACAAAATTTCTGACTTTGCTAGCTTCTGCAATCTACTGAAAATGTGTCCCATTTACTGGAAGAGAGATTTTCTATCACTTCCTGTCCTGACAGGAAGTCACAGGTAAGGCTTTCCTGTAGGGGTACAAACAGTAATAAAAACCTAATAAAAAAATTGGTGAAGCACACACACAAAGCAGAAGCAATAAGCTAAATATCTGACTACACCCACTCTATCCAAAATAGAAGAAAAACTTTGGTTAAAAATGAGCTTAAACAGTTTATACAAGAACTGAGAGACAGCAACTCTATTAATATGTTGGGGGTACAGTTAAAACTAGCCAGTGTCTATAAAGTGGTAAGCTCTCATGACAGTGGTAAAATTCAAAAAGTATTCCCATATGTACTATTTTTTTTTTCATTTGTAAAGTGAACTTTAATTCATATGTTTGTCTCTGAAATCGTCATACCGCTTTGGAAGAAGACATCAGCTCCAGGCTCTTTACGGACCTCATCCATCAGAGACCTCACAGCTGAGCTCAGTTCTTCCATGGATAAGAGTAGCTGCCAGACAGCCATTACAGGCAAGGTTTGCTCCTCGAAGACTGTAGATATCATAACACTGAAAATGCGAGTGTTGCAGTTTTTCCTGACAATCTGCTCCATCACCTAGAAAGGATAATTTAAAAATACAGTAATTACATTTTATACATAGCATCACCTGAATACTGAACATGTGATAATTTATGTTTCCCCATGATGTGCTAATTCTCCACTGTCCACTGGCAATGGTGGGGGAAGAAGGGAGGCTCTAAGGCCTCATGCATACGAGCATATGAATTTATGCTCCAAATATGCTGCATTTGTTCTGCCAGAACTTGTTAGAAAAAATGCCTCTAATGTTGCATATGTACGCATGTCTATGTGCATACGGCATTGAGCAAAATGCATCCTACTGCCCAGAATAATCATTCATGGCCATTGGAATAAATGTATGCTTATACGTGTGCGCATATAGGCATAGAATACACTGATAACATTGCTCCAAAAGCAGGCTCTTGGGTATTTTTCTGACTCTCTTGACTGCCACTCTAAAATACGCCTGTAAATGACACCGTGTATATGCACATTAGATAACCTAGAGCTAATAAAAAATAGAAAATGCCAGAATCCTTTAAGTGTGCATAAGGCCTAAAGTAAGCAGAACTTCAACTATAATTACTTCAAACTTCCTATTTCAATTATTTATTAACATAAATTTAGGGTGAGAAGAGTGTTGAACTTTGCTCACAGAGGATACCTGCAAACTCTAAAGTAAAGCAGAGCATATTGTATACAAGAGGCACATAATAGAGCAGGGATGCTCAACCTGTGGCCTTCAAAGCCCTCTGATGTGGCCCTCGTCTACAAACTCAGGGAAGTGACTGCCTGAGGTCAGCAACCCATTGATGGAGATCTGTGCTTGCCAGCTTGCCATCCCAGAGCATTAGAGTCGGTGCTGGTAGGCGGCCATGCAGAGAGTAGCAGCCGCACCAGCTGATGCTAACTTTGCAGTGGCAGCTCCTGTCCGAAGCGAAGTGATACAAGATGCACTTTGCCTGGGTCCTTTCTAGCAGCCTGGAGAGCGATGCCAGCAGGAGCTGGAAGAGGGAAGAAGGAAAAAAAAAAAAAATCGTCCCCCCCCCCCCCCCTTTTATTTTCAACTGGTGATCCAGCCAGTAAGTATGTTATCTTTCAACATCCTTTAGCAGACCAAGCTGTCCAGCAAAAGTGGCAGTTAGAGGGTTGAGACAAACCATTTAACCACTAACAAGAGTGGGTACAATGGTCAGCTTTTATTAATGTATGTGAAATCTCGCTTGTAAAAAAAGTTTCTGCAACTGCTGAAAAAGGTTTAGCTGGAGTTCAGCTTTAACCACTTGCCTACTGGGCACGTTTACTCCCTTTCTGCCCAGGCCAATTTTGAGCTTTCAGTGCTGTTGCACTTTGAATGACAAATTGCAGTCATGCAACATTGTACCCATATGACATTTTTATTATTTTTCTCACACAAATAGAGCTTTCTTTTGGTGGTATTTAACAGTGACTGGGGTTTTTATATTTTGCACTATAAGCAAAAAATTAAAAGAAAAAAAATAAATAAAAAAACGTTTTTCGGTTATAAAATTTTGCAAACAGGTAATTTTTCTCCTTCATTGATGTCGTTGCACTGATGAGGTGGCACAGATAGGCAGCACTGATATGCAGCAATGATGGACACTGACAGGCAGCACTGATAATCAGTGCAGATCTGGTCTGTGACATTTTGCGGTTATCAGCAGTACTTTGCTGCCAATACCTGGCAACTGTATTTGCTTTTTGATATGCTGTGTCATTGAACACAGCTGGTCATGTGGTAAAAGGCTGCTGTGATTAGCCTTTTACCTAGTCATGCGATCAGCTGTGCCCTCCCAGAACTGGACAAATGCGCTGTAGCCGTCATTCGTTGGTTAAGTGGTTAAAGCAGAACTAAACCTAACCCCCCTTTTAAAGCCAAGGAAGCTGCCATCCTATCTTCTGTTTGATCAGCAGTTTACATGGTGCTCTGCATGGAATCAGTTATGACAACGCCCATTTGATGGCTTGACAGTTTGGTTGAGAGCACAAACAAGTGTGACAGCTATCATTCACAACATGTCTGAATGTAACCGTTTTGGGAAAGAGTTAAATCGATGGGTTTAGTTCCGCTTTAATTAGTTAGTCAAGTCAATCTAAATCTGCTAGTACATCTATGACCACCCTCTCCCCAGACTGACAATGCTGCTGTCCAAAAGGTATCTTTGTTGCACCTCCACAGAATGGAGACACCCTAAGGCAGGAAATGTGTTACTGGGCCCCCTCGGTCTCTGCCCGAATCACACACCTACTGAGCGCGACATATCAGATTGGATGTCGCTCCACTTCCTTAAACTGAATCTCTCCAAAACCGAGTTTCTTGTCTTCCCCCCAGCCCGAACCCCAACCCCCATTGACTTCTCCATCACATCCAACAATGCCAATATCAAACCCGCCCTGCAGGCCAGAGTACTTGGTGTCATTCTGGACTCCAACCTATCCTTCCAGCCCCAAGTCCAATCTTTAACAAACTCGTGCAGACTCCACCTCCGCAACATCGCCAAAATACGCACATTCCTAACCCCAGAAACCACTAAACAGCTCATCCACTCCCTCATCATATCACGACTCGACTACTGCAACTCCCTCCTCACTGGCCTGCCTCGCCGCTGGCTATCCCCGCTTCAGTCGATCCTGAATACGGCTGCCAGACTCATTCACCTTTCCAACCGCTCCATCTCCGCCACCCCCCCTCTGCCAATCCCTCCACTGACTTCCGATTGCGCAACGGATCAAATTTAAAATCCTAACACTGACGTACAAAGCTGTCCACCATACTGCCCCGAATTACATCACTGACCTAATATCCAAGTACCGCCCAGCATGCACACTCCGCTCCCTCCTCACAAGACCTCCTTCTCTCTAGTTCCCTGGTCTCCTCCTCCCATGCCCGCCTCCAGGACTTCTCCAGGGTGTCACCCATCCTCTGGAACTCCCTTCCCCCAACCCATCAGATTATCACCTACTCTCCTCTCCTTTAGGCGCACCCTGAAAACCCATCTCTTCAGGGAAGCCTACCCCCCCCCTGCTAACTTGACCGACCTCCTCCACTCTTCCTACCACTCCATCCCCCACAGCTATCTCCTCCTGTACCACTATCCCCTCCCTCCTAGATTGTAAGCTCGAAAGAGCAGGGCCCTCGATCCCCTCATGTTTTGCATTGTATTGGTATTGTTCTGTCACATGTTCTGTCCCCCTTTGTAATGTACAGCGCTGAGTGAACTATATTGGCGCTTTATAAATACTGTATAATAATAATAATAATAATAATAATAATCATCCGGGGAAAAAAAGGAAAAAAAAACAAACTAAATGCAGCCACTGCATTAATGACTGGCAAGCTACTTTTGGGTTTAGAGCAGCTCAGCAGAAAAAGCCAAACTCATCCTGCTACAACCACAGAAAGATTGAGGAAAGATCACCCACAAAAGGAAGCAAATATTGTTGGTGTGGCAGAGAACAAAAGCCAGTTCTTTCACCAAAAATTAAAAAATCTATTTTGGAATATGTGGGATTTCATGGTTAGCATATGCAGGCTTTAGAATAAGATTCTAGACAAACACAGAATGCTTTCAGCTTAAAAGCTAAGTTCGCCTTTAGAAGATTGTTATTGAATATACCTAAATTTAGGGTATAACATGTAACACTCCTAATCATCTATCTCCCGCTGCTAGCACTCCCATCTCTGACAGTGGTAGGGGGATCTTCTCCCTGCGCCCATGGTCAGAATTTAAAAAACAGCGTGGCTGTGCGGGGCTCCGTAAACACAATCGCATCATTTATTTACAGTTTCCTGTGAATGACAAGTAATGTCAGCCATTGCAGCTGACGGCTGGTAGTTCTCAATGAACTGCAAGGGCATTGGTGAGCACACTCACAGTTCATTGATTCTTCCTGCCTTTCAGTAACTGTCTGTATGGGAGGTACAGCCAGACAGCTTACTGAGAGTCTGCAGGATCCTGGCATCGTACCCACGATCTACTGATCACAGGTGCAATGCTTTACAGGCTGAAATGTAAAATAATAATAAATGCTTTTTAGCTGCAAAAAGATGAGCATTTATTATTTTATTTTTTTTTTACAAAAGGTGAACTTAGCCTTTGAACAAGGGGTGCTCAATCTTTTGAAGAGCGAGTTTTTTTTTATTTTGAATAGTAAAATTAACATTTTCCTACTGATGCTGCTAAATACCAGAAGAAGGGAGAGGAGATGCCGGCTTTAAGTGTTTGCAAGAGGAAAATGGAGAGGATCGGTACCTGTGTACGTGTCCCTCCTGTCCAAGTGTAAAACAGAAAGCATCAGGGAGGCCGCATGGGCCACCTAGAGCATGGGGCAGGGTCGCCATGACACTACACCAGTGATTTGGTGGGGGCTTACTGTCCTGAGCCCCCTATATGGCTGGTTTTACACTGGTGTGATGCAGTTTACTTGCAATGCAGGTGTAGCACAGTGCACCAGCGGCTTTCCTGCGGGTTAGCTACTCTTTGCCATAGACTTCTAATATATCTTGCGGGTGTGGTGCTCCTGCATTCAGGAGTTTTGAAGCGCTTTCAGAGAGTGCACCAAATTTGAAAGATAGAAGTCTATGGCTCAGTGCAGCTAACCTGCAGGAGAGCCACAGGTGCAACGCGCTGAACCCTGGATCAGTGAGAAAGCAGCCTAATAGTTGTTAAGCCTTTTATAGGTGCGAATATGCTCGTTACAAAAGCGCAGTGTGTGAGCTGTTTAATACACTGACCTTTTGTCCCCTCTTTCAGCTTCAGCTAGCATCACTCTCCAGGCTGCAAAAAAGGTCCCATGAGAAGTGGATCTGGTATCACTTTGCATGGGACAGGAACCGACACTCCCTATGCGGCTGCCTGATTCCTCCCGCTGGGGGCAACAACTCGATGCACTCTCTGGGATGGCGAGTTGGCAAGCCCAGATCGCAATCAATGGGTTGCCGACCCCAGGCACACACTTCCCTGGTTTGAGGTCAAGGAATACATCAGCGGGCTTCGAGGACCATGGGCTGAGCAACGCTGCTTTGAATGCTTTCATCCAATATCAGTTTGGGGTATACTTCAGATGCTTACACATTTGTATGAAGGATCAAAACCAAAGCAGACTGATGCACCACAAAAGCAGCAACAAAACACAAGTGTCTACTGCTTCATGTAATACAAAATACAAACATGCTATTTCCAGATCCTTCAAAAATGTTTTATACACATCTGTCAAAAGGCAAAAACACAAATGTCAGTGCAAAATAGCCCTAAAAAAAAGCATAGTGCTACAAAAGGCAATAGAAGCTCACCTCTTTCTCACGGTCTGTTAAATGCGATGCTGCTGAAATGCCACCAAGTATGATGTCAGCATCATTCACCACTTCTGAAAAATTTTCCAGGTATTGTTTCAGCAACTCTGCTCCATAATCAGCTGTACTAAGCTTGCCTGCACCAGAGGAAGTGGAATATTTTACATCAGTTTAATACATTGTCAGATAGGAGAGTTTGGTGCAACTTACAAAGAATGACTCAGTGGGTTTCTTACACTACTCCCACATTTACAATTTACACAATTGCTCATTTCTACCAATTTGAAAAAAAACTGTGTGGTTGCTGTAAATTATGCACACGATCACAAACTGTAAACATCTATCTTGGACAGCCAATACAATTCTTTGTAAATCTCTGATACATACGATCTCAAACTTATGCTAAAGCACACTAAGATAAAACAGTGACCTGCCAGTAGATTTGTAGGGCATACAAGGAAATCACAACACACACAAGGAAGTTACACAAACCTGAGAACAAACAGTGGATATAAAAAGTCTACACATCCCTGTTAAAATGTCAAGTTTCTGTAATGTAAAAAAAAAATTAGACAAATAATTTCAGAACTTTTTCCACCTTTAAGGTGACCTATAAACTGTACAACTCAATTGAAAAACAAACTGAAATCTTTTAGGGGGGGTGGGGGGGGAATTAAGCATAAAAAAAACAAATAATGTGGTTGCATAAGTGTGCACACCCTCTTATAACTGGGGATGTAGCTGTGTTCAGAATTAAGCAATCACATTCATGTTACATAGGAGTCGGTACACACCTGCCATCATTTAAAGTGCCTCTGATTAACCCCAAATAAAGTTCAGCTGTTCTAGTAGGGCTTTCCTGCCATTTTCTTCGTCGCATCCTACAGCAAAAGCCATGGTCCGCAGAGAGCTTCCAAAGCATCAGAGGAATCTCATTGCTAAAAGGTATCAGTCAGGAGAAAGGTACAAAAGAATTTCCAAGGCATTAGATATACCATGGAACACAGTGAAGACAGTCATCATCAAGTGGACAAAATATGGCACAACAGTGACATTACCAAGAATTGGACGTCCCTCCCAAAATTGATGAAAAGACGAGAAGAAAACTGGTCTAGGAGGCTGCCAAGAGGCCTACAGCAACATGAAAGGAGCTGCAGGAATATCTGGAAAGTACTGGCTGTGTGGTACATGTGACAACAATCTCCCGTATTCTTCATATGTCTGGGCTATGGGGTAGAGTGGCAAGACGGAAGACTTTTCTTACGAAGAAAAACTTCCAAGATGGGCTAAATTTTGCAAAAACACATCTGAAGTCTCCCAAAAGCATGTGGGAGAAAATGTGTTATGGTCCGATGAAACAAAAAGGTGCAACTTTTTGGCCATAATTCCAAAAGATATGTTTGGCACAAAAACAACACTGCACATCACCAAAAGAACACCATACCCACAGTGAAGCATGTTGGTGGCAGCATCATGCTTTGGGGCCGTTTTTCTTCAGCTGGAACTGGGGCCTTAGTAAAAGGTAGAGGGAATTATGAACAGTTCCAAATACCAGTCAATATTGGCACAAAACCTTCAGGCTTCTGCTAGAAAGCTGAACATGAAGAGGACCTTCATCTTTCAGCATGACAACGACCCAAAGCATACATCCAAACAACAAAGGAATGGCTTCACCAGAAGAAGATGAAAGTTTTGGAATACCCCAGCCAGAGCCCATACCCGAATCCAATGGAAAAATCTGTGGGGTGATCAGAAGAGGGATGTGCACAGGAGATGCCCTTGTGATCTGACAGATTTGGAGTGTTTTTGCAAGGAAGAGCGGGCAAATATTGCCAAGTCAAGATGTGCCATGCTGATAAGACTCATACCCAAAAAGAATGAGTGCTGGAATCATATAAAAGGGGGCTTCAACAAAGGATTAGTGTAAGGGTGTGAACACTTATGCAACCATATTATTTTAGTTTTTTTTATTTTTACTTCCCTCCACCTAAAAGATTTCAGTTTGTTTTTCAATTGAGTTGTACAGTTTATAGGTCACATTAAAAAGGTGGAAAAAGTTCTGAAATGATTTACCTTTGTCTCATTTTTTACATCACAGAAACGTGACATTTTAACAGGGGTGTATAGACTTTTTATATCCACTGTACTATACCAAATAATATACCCAGGAAAAACTGGTGCCAGGACCTGACTGGTGAAAGCCAACACTGCTAAACCATGGTATTGTTCTGTGGATGGCAACATGCATACTTTCACTGCTGCCCAGAAAAACGGAAAAGTTTGCTGTTAAAGGCAAAACATTTTTTAGGCTTGTTTTATACCTTTGAAGTTGGACTTTTTGCTGTGTGGCTCCAGTAGATCAAGCAATGAGTGGAGGTCAGGAAATGCTTCTCGAACAGCTTGAAGAAGCTTGATGAGACTGTCAGGGCTCAGGGTTTTGGTTTCTGATGCCTTCCTTAACAGTTTATCCATAGCTTCCTTATGTGACCCACCTTCACAGCAATCAATGATCACCTATCAATATATTCAATGTTACATAAGAACCATCAAAAACAAAAATACACATATAGGTGCCCTCTTCTCACATACACCAATCTAAAACATATCCCTGTGTTGTAGGCTATTAACTGGACAATGCTAGTTGGAATCTGACTTGATTGCTACAGGGAAACACAGACAGTACTTATTTAAGGCATGTTTGTGGATGAGGATTGGACTTTATTGTACACATGCTGTGCAGGTAAAGCACTTCAATAAACAATGAATGGGAGTGTATCTACACCGCTTTCTTGCACCTGAACACAAATATACCAAGTGTAACACTAATATGATTTGATGTACGTGTACACAGGCACGCATATTTGAGTCTTCCTAAAGAAAAGCCAATGTAAAAACCTTTTTTTCAATGTTGGTAAGAAAGTCCTCCTCCGCTGTATCTAGGCACTCAATGATTGGGCTGAGCTCTGTAATACACTGGATCAGCTCTTTCCCTCCGTTCCATCAGAAGATCAAATAAGGTCTTTTCTTTTTCCACCAATACTGGAGGCCCTGTGACAGAAAAGACAAACGAGGCCATTTATAAAGCTTGCACAAACCAAAAGATTTGTAGTTGCTGTGCTTGAGGGCCCATATTATGTGTAAATGCATGTGAGCTGCAACACACACACACACACACACACACACACCTGCGTGTTACACTGCACAATGCAAACACTTCTATTCTTCATACCCTGCAACCAGTTTAGTTTTCAAGGGCTGTGTAGTGCAGCACATCACAATATACAAAAGCATGTGCTGCTATGCACCGAGTGGTGGTATGAATGGACTCAATTTTGTTAATTATTTAACCACCAAAACATTATTATTATACATATTTATATAGCGCCAAAGGGTATGCTCAGCTCTGTACAATAGCAAGGGGGACAGAACATGAGACAAGACAGTAACAATACAATACACGAGGGGTTCGAGGGCCCTGCTCTTTCAAGCTTACAATCTAGGAGACAAAACATGTACATATACGCAGTGTACACACACAGTATATGCATTATAAATTATGTGTATCTGCACAAATCTGGATCTGAATTTTTCATCCACACAGGATCAGGAAAGTCAAAGCCTTTCTCCATAAGCTCTTTTCACCAGGAGCTCCACCAGGCTGATTAAGCCAGTCACCCAGGTGCTAGCAAACTTACAGGTCTACAGTGCTCAGCATAAAGGAGTACCACCCGTTTTGAAAAGTAAGATTTTAATCAATATCTCATTGAACACAAAAACAATTTCCAAAATTTTGACAAAACTGAGTTTTATAGAACAATTCTTTAGCTCATTACATGAAAGTAAGGTTAATAGTATAAATTGGATTACAAAGTCTTCAGTTTCATTCAAATTCGTTCATGCAAAAATGAATACACTCCACAACAACAAAAAAAAAAAATACTACATCCAGTAATTTGTATGACCTCCATGATTTGTAAGGACAGCACCAAGTCTGCTAGGCCTGGAATACAAAAGATGGCGACATATTGCAACATCTGTTTTTTTCCATTCTTCAAGAACAACCTCTTTTAGAGCCTGGATGCTGGATGGAGAGTGATGCTCAACTTGTCTCTTCAGAATTCCCCATAGGTGTTCGATTGGGTTCAGATCAGGAGACATATTTGGCCACTGAATCACTTTCACCTTGTTCTTCAGAAATGCAACAGTGGATGTGTGTTTTGGATCATTGTCATGTTGGGAAAATGAATGACGACCAACAGGCAAAGAGTGATACTAGCATCTTCTCTTTCAATATAGAGCAGTACATCTGTGAATTAATGATACCATCAATGAAATGCAGCTCCCCGACACCAGCAGCACTCATGAAGCCCCATAGAAGGACACTCCCACCACCATGTTTCACTGTAGGCACCATCCATTTTTCTTTGTACTCCTCATCTTTGCAATGTCATAAAGTTTTGAATCAATCAATTTCCAAAAACATTTATCTCGGTCTCATCACTCCAGAGAACAGAGTCCCACTGGTCTTTTTCAACATGGGGAAGATGAAAGAAAGAGCGCACAAACCTTGCGCATTACCTCAATAAATAGTGACTAATTTTTATTAATAAGGAAATATACTCACAAAATGATTGCATAACAGGCATAAGTAACCATAATCCAAACAGGGTTACAGGTAAATCAAAACGGGGGGGGTATGAAGGCTAACGCGTTTCAAAGGGTGCTCCCTTCTTCATCAGAGCTGGGTTTGGCAGATAGAAACTTCAGTATGGCAGAATTCCCATGGCAAGGAGATATTCAGCCACTGAGTGTCAGTATTACAGCAGTTCAGCCTGTTTAGTGTGACACTAGTAATACTGCTGTAATACTGACACTCAGTGGCTGAATATCTCCTTGCCATGGGAATACTGCCATACTGAAGTTTCTATCTGCCAAACCCAGCTCTGATGAAGAAGGGAGCACCCTTCGAAACGCGTTAGCCTTCATACCCCCCCGTTTTGATTTACCTGTAAACCGTTTGGATTATGGTTACTTATGTCTGTTATACAATCATTTTGTGAGTATATTTCCTTATTAATAAAATTAGTCACTATTTATTGAGGTAATGCGCAAGGTTTGTGCGCTCTCTTTCATCTTCCTCTACAGTTTTATTAAGCTTCCCCAGCTTCATGATAGAGTGCACAACCTCTGATCACAAGTGGATGAATAGACAACACGCTGCTTGTCACTTCCTGTTTGATCTGAATGTCAAATTGAGCTGAGTCTCATCACTTGAGCGCAGGAGATAATGGATCTTTGGTGACTTTTTCAGCATGGGCCCTGGCAAATTCTAGGGGCTTTAGAAGAGATTTCCTTCGTGGAAGACACCCATGCATGCCATTCCACTGCAGTATACGCCGTATTGTGTCATGGGAAACAATCACCCCAGTTTGGCTTTCTACTTCTTTAGCGAACTTCAGTGAACTTGAATGGCGATTTTTTTTTTTTTTCAACCCTTCTCATCACAAGATGCTCCTGTCGAGGTGTTAATTCCACGGACGGCCTGTGAGATGGTTGCAGTTCCATCCTTGTTACATTTTTGTCACTTTTGCTACAGTATTCTGACTAAGTAAAGCTTTGCTGATCTTCTTGTAGCCTTCACCTTTCTTGTGACCAAGCACCGAGGGCGCGGCGAAACACATCACAGAGCGTGACCGGAGCGTGTGGCTGAGGCCATCTTCACATAGGATTCGAGTGGTTAAAGCAGCATCCTTTCTTACATTGCACCCACATGCCTGGAAACATTGAGGACACTGCTCCCCCTTTCATACCGGTGAGGTGATCATTGAGCTCCAGCTTGGATCGGCACCATTTCGTTATATACACCAGCTTACTGGACTCACCTGTAGTTGAATTCTTGTTAATTAGGATTTTGTCTAACATTTAGCATTGCTTCTAAGACTTTCACTGGGGTGTATTCATTTTTGCAACATGGTCTTATTTTTTTGTGTGTGCAAATTAACAAATTTTGTTTGCAATCAGTAGCCCACATTTGTGGGAGTATTTTGTAGTATAGTGTCCCATAGAAAATGTTGATTCTGAAAGGAAAGTAAAGGTTTTCTGACAAATCTGTCGGGGTGTAATTATTTATGCTGAGCACTATACATGTATTGTTGTTTAGCCACCTAAACTGAAGCAGCTGCTCCATTAGCCAATTAGGTTACAGCTACACTTTTAACAAAATCTGTTGTAATTAAAGAAACAAGTGCCTCTTCATTCACTCTGGCTATGGGCTTTGTCCCATTAAATGATAGTTTCACCTTTTGAAAAAAAAAAAAAAATAAATGCACATTTTTTGCAGGTTAAAAAAAAAAAGTTTAAAAAAGTGTATTTATTATTTTTTTAATCTAAGAAGCCTACAGTGCGTTGCACCCATGATCAGCAGATCATGGGTGCAATGCAAGGCTCCTGCAGACGCTCAAGGTAGTTCACCATCGCAGCTCAGTGAGAACTACAAGCCATCAGCTGCAATGGCTGACGGTACTTGTAGTATAGTCATTCACAGAAAACTGAATGAATGACGAGGCCATGTGGGCAGTGCCCTGATCGGCTGCGCTGTTTTCAAGTTTTGACGGCTGGTGTGGGAAAAAGATCCCCAACCCACTGTCACAGAGTGGGGAGCGCTGGTAGCAGGAGGTGAATACATAAGAGAATGTTACATGTTATTCCCTAAAATATGGGTGTAACATGCTCCTAACTGCAAACTTATCCTTTAGACAGAGATTCCACCTCTTCAACAGCCATCTAAGCATCTACAATGAGCTGCTGCTGCTGGTGGATTCAGAAACTGCTGGAACTTTGCTCAGATGCACCAGTCAGTTTGAGATGAAATCATGCTCTGGATTCTTGGGGTCTGTTGGAAAGCAAAAGGGACACAACAGGTCCTATATTGTTCACAGCGTACTTTTAGCCTATAATCTGCACAGAAGCTCCCTCAGCTGCTATGTGCAATCCCCCAGCTGCCCTTACAACCTACCTGCATAGAAAAAAAAAATCTCAAGAAAATGCTATACAGCATATCAGAAAATTATAGCTAACAAATTAATAATTATTCATATGCTACACACATTGTGTGACAGTACTGCTCAAATGCCTGCCAAACCTGTCGGTTGGATCAGCATTGTGAATAGACTGATGCAAGACACCTTCCTGAAAAGACTGATGAAGAACCTGTGTGGCACCCAGTGAGGATTTTGGAGAAGTATTGAGAGGCAATTATAAACTTGGAGAGGCATTTAAAAAGAGAATAAAAAAAGCAATTGCACTTTAGGGCATCATTTTTGTACCAGGATTCCATCCAAGGTTGTCAGAGGTTCCTTGAGGACAAAGTAGTGTGGTAGATTAATCTCTTTCCTACAGTGACCACCAAAGTCAGGGGTCACCACAATTTTCAATATATTATTTGTTCAGATTATCACTGGAGATAATTTTGTGTTATAGTGCTTGGGGAAGGAGTGATTAAAAGGAGAGATGCGGCCAAAGCTCTTTTGGCCCTACTTCAGTTGATGTCAAAGAGCTGGTCCAGACTGTGGAGAGATCCCAATTTTAATGTCAGGATCTACCCAGATGCCTGGACCGGCAGCTAGCTCAGCCTCTCGGAGTGCCGCTGAAAACCCAAACCAGCTGCTCCTGCCTCTTCCACAGCCCAGCGCTCCACTGAGCGTTGAAGGGGCAGAGAAGAGAACAGTGACTAAAAGGTAATTTGTAGTGGGAGTTCCCTGAGACCTGAAAACTTTTTCAAAGGGTGGGACTCATAAGTTGAATAAGACTGGACTAGTGGAAAATACAGGTTAGAAAAAACCCCAAAAAAAAAAAAAAAAAAAAAAAAAAAAAAAACACCAGCAGGCTTAGACTTGAGTTTCATTTTACCTGTATCTACATCTATTTCCTTTACAGGATCTTTGCATGTTGGCTCTTTTTCAAGTAGGGCTTCATTGACACTTGGATTGGTGTCCCGGCACAACTTCAGCAAAGCCAGAACCGTCTCAACGACAATACTTTGCCCATCCTTAACCTTTTCCAGAAGTTTGGCAAATGTTGAACTCCCCTCTTCAGCTTGGCAACATTCTACTACAACCTGCAGAGCAGCACAGACAATGGAGTTACAAAATACCATATACTTGGAGATATATCGATATTGCTGCTTTGGACAACTCCATGCAATAAATTAAAATGTGTTTATACCAGAATGGCTCATGAACTTTGAAGTTGAACCCTTTTGCTGACCTGCACTGGTTCATATTCTGCATTGCAGGTGGCTGGACCAGTTTTATTATTTGTATACAGATGAAAGTGTGCGAAGAGCCTTTCAAAACATTTTCTGAAACTGCAAAGCCTATAGACTTACTGCTGAATTTGTATGTCCTATGGTAGCTGTGCAAATTTTTATCAGTGATGTTTTCAGTAAAAATATGCTATTTATTGAAGCAGAACCTTCAGCCAAAAACAAAAATGAATATTCCATTAACAGATTAACAAGAAAAAATTATTTTTTGAAATATTTAGCTTCTATCCAGAGGTTACCCCTGCAGTACATATTTTTGTCTGCTTCTTGTCAGCGCACGAACAGATTGATTCCTTGTTCAGCTTCTTCCTCTTGTATTTCAGCCATTCTATACAGGGACTGAAAGAGGCTGATACCAAATCAAATTCAGATACTTACATTGCTTGCATTTAATCACTTATGAAAGATTATAGAGTTGCATTAATCTGTTTTTTTTTATAGCTTCCTAGAGTTCAGCTTTAATGCACCTCAATGTAGCATGATCCAATACAATTTTCTTTTACTATTTACAACCCCTGGCAAAAAAAAGTATGGAATCATCACTCTTGGAAAATGTTCATTCAATTGTTTAATTGTGTAAAAAAAAAAAAAAAAAAAAAAAAAAAAAAAAAAAAAATCACAGACATGTCTCAAAACTATTTTCATTTAATATTCCAACCTCCTGGCTTTAAGAAATACTTAAAGCCAGAAGATTAACAAAAAATAAAAAAGAAAGAAAAAAACTGTAGTCAATTACAATTGTTTTTGCAGATCAAGCAGAGGAAAAAAATATGGAATCAATTCTGAGATAAATATTATGGAATCAACATGTACTTTGCAGTTCTAAAACAAACATCTGCATCAGATTACATCTGCTAATTAGTCTGCAGTTAAAAAAAAAAAAAAAGTGTTTGCACACCTTGGTGAGCTGTTGCACCAATCTGATTGGCATAAATCATGGCTCTAACATGAGATGTCAGTTGAAACAAAAGGAGAGGATTATAAAACTTCTTCAAAAGGTAAATCATCACAGAATGTGATCAATAAACAGTGTCATGCTCTACTGACAATTTCAATATAAAAGTATCAAATATGTGAATAAAATAAATATATAAAATAGTCCGACATCAAATTAAAGTGACAATGCAATCATGCTGCTGCATACATGTCCTTAATTAATCCGTGATTTTGACATTTCTTCTAATAGTGTGATACGAAGTATATATCGTGCAGTCCACCAATCATAAAAAATGTGTACAAGTTTTGATCATATTTATTGTGACACACTGGTATGAGTATGTGTAGAGTATTTTAATTTTGCATACACACAATTTAGTCATTTTATTAACTGTTTTTACATCATTCACAATATGTAAATATTTATTCACACTGTGTTTACACCAATGTAGCTCACAAGAGCCCACATTTTAGAAATCATCACAGAATGTTGCAAATGATGTTGGTTGTTCCCAGTCAGCTGTGTCTAAAATCTGGACCAAGTACAAATCAAATGGGAAGGTTGTAAAAGGGAAGCATACTGGTAGACCAAGGAAGACATCAAAGTGTCAAGATAGAAAACTTAAAGCAATATTCCTTGAAAACAGAAAATGTACAACAAAACAAATGAAGAACAAGTGGGCAGAAACTGGAGTCAATGTCTGTGACCAAACTGTAAGGCATCGCCTAAAGGAAATGGGATTTCCATACAGAAAAGCCAAATTAACACCTAAACAGAAAAAAACAATGATACAGTGGGCTAAAGAAAAGCAATCATGGACTGTGGATGACCGGATAAAAGTGATATTCAGCGATGAATCACGAATCTGCATTGGGCAGGGTGATAATGCTGGAACTTTTGTTTGGTGCCTTTCCAATGAAATGTTTAAAGACAACTGCCTGTGGAAAACATGCAAATCACTGATCATGTGGGGTTGCATGTCAGGTAAAGGTACGGGGGAGATGACCGTCATTAAATGCACAAGTATATATTGAGATTTTGAACACTTTTCTAATTCCATCAATTGAATGGATGTTTGGTGATGATGACATTTTTTAGGATGATAATGCATCTTGCCATAGGGTAAAAGCTGTGAAAACGTTCCTTCAAGAAAGACATACAATGTCAATGGCATGGCCTGCAAACAGTCCAGACCTCAATCCAATTGAAAATCTATGGTGGAAATGAAAGGAAAAGGTCCATGACAAGGCTCCAACCTGCAAAGCTGATCTGGCAACTGCAATAAGAGAAAATTGGAGCCGGATTGATGAAGAATACACTTTGTCAATAGTTAAATCCATGCCTCAGAGAATTCAAGCTGTTCTAAAAGCCAGGAGGTGTTGCAGCAAAGTACTAGTGGTGTACTGTAGTGTGTTTTTCATGATTCTATAATATTTTCCTCAGAATTGAGTGATTCCATATTTTTTCTTCTGCTTGATCTGCAAAAACAGTTGCAACTGACTACAGTTTTATTTATTTTTTTAAGTGTTTCTTAAACCCAGAAGGTTGGAATGTTAAATGAAAATAGTTTTGAGGCATGTCTCTAGATTTTTTTCTACACAATTAAATTAACATTTGGTAGGAGTAGTGATCCATACTTTTTGCCAGAAGTTGTACATTGGTTATTGCCACTAGGTGGCTGAGAAGAGGGTGACAAGTCTTCCATATGAAGTAGATAGACTTCTGATGTTGCCTCTGTGGACTGCAAAAGGAGATCAAGGACAGAGTCCCAGACTTCCTTCTTCCCTAACACTTGGTGTAGTGCCAGTAGGGAATTTCAGGATCCATTCAGAGCTCTACTGGCCAGAAGACCAGGGAGATGAGCCCCATAGACTTCTATGGGGCTCCAATGCACAGGGACAGGGAGAAAGGATTTGCAGCACTGGATATAAAAATAAAAAAAAAAAAATACAGGAGGCCGCAGCAGTGGATCTTGGTATATACGCATCTGTGGCGGAGGAGATCTGTTAAGTCAGCGGAAGAGGGTTAAAAAGAATACACTTTGTCTGAAAATGCACTTCTTTAAAGTGGATTTCCAAGCTAAAAACGTAAATCTTAAAAATGCTCCCTTCCCCCTCCTAATGCCAATGCTGACTAACCTGTGTAGGAATGATTTAAATACTCGCCTATTTGCAGCGAGCTCCGGTCATGTGACCCGGCTAATCTGCATCAGTCAGCAGCCACAAGCAAGAGGAAGAATCGCCAACAGATGGGCCATGGGAGCCTATGGGTGATGTCAAGGCTCCCAGGCATTCCCAGCAGCTGTCGAGTACGCTCTCCACTCCCCTGCTGGCTGACGCAGGGAATCACATAGCCAGACCACTGCGGACTGACAATAGGTACACATCGTTTTTACACAGGTTAGTCAGCATAGGCGTTACAAGGGGGAAGGAAGCATTTTTAAGACTGGTTAGGTTTAGTCTGGAATCTTACTTTAACTTTAGAATACGAACTACATTTACAATACTTTTTCCCTCATAATAGTGCATGCTTTTTGATATCTTGCAGTTAATAAAATATGACCCTGCCACTGCCCTCCACCCAGCCCTACTTCTGGTCTTCTGTCAAAACTGACCACAGCTGCAAACAAGTTGTCAGGTGGTCTGCTTGCAGCTCCACTGTCATTCTGTTATATCACAGGCTGACTTCCCCTGTACAGCCCTGCTAGAGAATGACTGACAGCTGTTCCGGCATATCTGAATAATTGTGACCAGGCCCTGCCCTGCTCTTCAGCTACAACCTGCAATTTACTGCAATCACACAACTACAAGAGCATACATTCCATCAGATACTTCAATGTAAACAGCAGCAAAGGAAATATAGAAATATAAAAAGCATGTCCAACCACCTGAACCTGATATGCTTTATCCAAAAATCATGGAACATGACTAGCTGCTTTGGGCAACACTCTGATCTTGTTACTACTTATTGTTTGTTATATTTGGCCCAGTGAGTTGCAGAGAGGTCCCTTCTTCCATCCATAGCACACTCACCTGTTTTTCAGCCTCTTTGATATCTTCACACTTTTTCAGATTTTCAAGAACACTTTGGGGGTCTGAGAGTGCCTCGCTGAAGATACTCTCATAACGGATAAGAAAATCCAACTCACCCGATGTTTTTTCCGACTCTAAACATAACATACATCAAGCACTATTAACAAAGAACAAGCATGGAAATAAAAAGAAAGGCAATTATCCTATTTTTAAAGTCATACACCAATGTCTGTTTAGTGCAATTCTATTAGTCACCAAACACTGCTACACTAAAGAAGCAAAGAAGTGTTATTTTTTTTTAATCTTTAATTTTTTTTTCCATTGTTAAAGCTAGGGTCTCTGTATTTACATGTTATAATAGAGAGAGTAGCACATGCCGTAAAAAAAAAATGTTATGGTTACATTTGACCTTAGCTCTGCTGAGAGGTGGAAGGGTTGGAGAAAAGGACAATCCTTGGTGAATAGTGCCAGAACATGGCAGCACTGGAGTATGCAATATCATTTCTAGCCCTGGAGCTGTGCCATATCTGCAACTATTTAGGTATTGTTGTCTGATCTACTCAGCCTTAGCAACTGACGAAAATGTTTAGATAACTTGAAAGTAAATGGTGTCTTGAAACTGCTGAAGGTGGTTACACATGAACACAGGGGTGCACTCTATTCACCCAGAGAAAGTTGGACCTAAAAAACTTTTCATCCCACATCTCAGCCCTAACGCATATTGAAGGTTAAAATACTTTATTTGTAATAAAAAGGATCTATAGATACAACAGTTTTCTTAGAGTTCTAGGAGTCTGCCCTGCTTTCTTCCTAAATGCAGTGCTGCTAAAGCTGAACTACCCTTGAAGTGGGGGTTCCATCCACACAGCAAGGGTTAAATGCACGTTTTTGTCCACAGTATTTTTAAATGTAGTTTTACTTACCCTATCCCTCGCTCCCATAGGCTTCCTCCTCTCCGGTCCCCCGAAGCTGCTTCTCTTCGGTGCTCCAGCCAACAGTCACACTCCGATGTCACAACAAACAATGCAGTACCAGTAGAAGGACCAGCACTGTAAGTAAGGATGGCAAGGGTCTGCCCACAACCTTGAGCATCGGAAGGAAGAGGAGAGCATCGGCTGCCAGGAAGCGAAAGACAAGATAAGTAAAACTTTTTTTTTTTCGTTTTAAATGGTACCCTAGACAAGAATGAGCATTCAGCCCTTGAGTGTGGGGGTAGCTCTACTTCACAGGTAATTTTGAATTTCCCCAGAGATCAGTTTTAATGGGTATCTATACCCAATTATCTTTTCCCTGTTTTAGATAGAGACCTGTCAGGTTTTACTGATGTCCAGGGCTCTGTGAGAAAGATTCCCTTCACTTTTTGTTCTTGAAGCAAGACTTTACCAAACAAGAAGTGAGGGAAAAATCTTCAGCAGGGTAACAGACAACAATAAAAAGCTGACAGAGGTTCAAGCATCCCCCTACTTAACCTAAAAAATTGTTTTTGCCACTGTCTGTTTTGAAATGTCCCCTCATTTCCTGTCATGAGGACAAGACAAAAAATTTGGTAAAAAGGTTGTTTCTCCAGCAGAGTCTCTGAAGGCAGTAAAACCTAAAAAGAGTTCTAATCCTTCCCCACGCTATCCAAAAAATAAAAGTTTTGCTTACAGATACACTAGGTAGAGCTGAAAATATTCACTTGCTTCTAATAACCAGCTTCATGATGGCCCTTCTCCCAGCCTGACATAGTGGACTGTCAATGTAACCGCACATACAGATTTCTATGTGTTAAAACTTACAGCACAACTAAAACGCTAAATTTTTTATTTTGATTATACTGATTGATTAGAACAGCTGTCAGTTTTTATTGCCATCTGTGTCCCCATTAGGGAGATTCACTTTCTCCATTTGTCCGGTTTACCATTATCATTGAAAATAAAAGAAAAACCCAAATTTTGAGTTGTCCCCAGAAAAGTAATAGAGGGGAAATCTTCCAATGGGGACACTACTTCTGGTAAACTGGGGGTCCCCAAGGGATTCTCTTTATTTACAGGGATCTTCTCACACTGTTTGGCTATGGTACAGGAAGTGAAGGTAAATCTCCCCAATGGGACATAGATGGCGAAAAATAAACTGACAGGAGTTATGACAGTCCCTTACTCTACCTGACATGAAAACATTAGCCTATAGTTCTACTTTAAAGTGGTTGTAAAGGCAGAACATTTTTTTTACCTCAATACATTCTCTGCATTAAGGTAAAAAACCTTCTGCATGCAGGTTCCCCCGCTTATAATTACCTGAGCTCGATCTCGATCCAGCGATGTGCACGAGAGTAGTGACTCTTTCCCTCCCTCATTGGCTCAGAGACAGCAGTCGAGAGCCATCGGCAATCACAGCCAATGAGGAGGGAGAGTGGGGTCGGGCCGAGCTACACTCTGTGTGTCTATGGAGTGAGCCTGCACGAGCGCTCCATCAGCAAGTGGCTAGAGCAAGCGAGAACAGAGACGTGAAGGATCGGGGCTGCTCTGTGCAAAACCATTGCACAGAGCAGGTAAGTATAAGATGTTTGCTATTTTAATTTAAAAAAATTGAACCTTTAATATCACCTTAACTACTAGCAGCGCATGAGGACACTACTGTTGACAAAAACTGAGCAGACTGGGTCCCTCTCACCTAATATGGAAAATGGCTGTTTTGGGGCTAGTCATCAGCCATAAAATATCCCCAACAGTCAGCCAGACTTTACAGCCTGTAACCTCCCTCCAATATTACCTGTTATGCTGGAAAACAAACTGTGATATATTGTATTCTGTTTCATTGCACTGCAGTGAAATAAAATAAAAACGAAAAAAAAAAAAAAATGAATTTAGCCGTTACCTGGCTTATCAAGTCTTCTTTTCTTTGCTGCAGGCTCACTACTCTCCTCTGGTTGAGGCAGTGTACCATCTTGTCCTGAGGACTCTGGGGTCGTTTCAGTACAAGTATCCCCTAAAGCAGAATCTGTAGTTTCTCCTACTACGGTTTCTGATACAAGCTGATTAGTGGTCTCTTGCTGTACTGGTGGAATTAATGGTACAGTTTCATCCTTAGCAGGAGACAACTCCTTATCCAACCCCTCAGATGATAGTTCAGTATCTATCTGTGCAGGGCTTGGTGGTCCTGCTACACTTGAAGGCCCGATCTCACAATCAGTCTTTCCTTTAACACCTTTGGAACCTTGCTGTGGTTTAAATTGTTCTGTAGAGCACACAGGAGGTGCAGGATTGGTGGTCTGCAGGTTCCCATTAGCGTCCAGCTTCTTAGAAGAAGAAATGAGCTTTGTTACTTTATCAGCCGCTCGCTTCTCAGGAGCGGAAGCTACAGACATCCCTCCCGTACTCATGGGCAGTAACATCTTGTCAATGGCAAAAGTCTCACTTACGACATTGCTCCTGGGGACTGCAGGCTTGGCTTCAGGTTTAACCAAGGTTAATGGCTTAATGGAAACATCCTTCACCTTTTGACTCTGGGCAGAATGATTCATAAGCTCTGTCAGGAGGTTCTTACAGCTCACAGCAACATCAAACATTTGAAGGCTGTCTGCCACAGTAATAATTTTTGTCAGGTTGTGTTTTCCAGGTGGAAGTTTTCCTGAGTACATCATCTCCAGCAGCAGAGAGAATTCTTCTGGCGATACAACAGAGGCATCTATAGAAATTGTTTCTGTTGTTTCCAGTAAAGACTTAAAGAGGAGGCTTGCAGCAGAAAGGACAAGTTTGTGAGCTCGGAAATGCAATGTACCAACGAAAATTGTACAGTCACAAAATTGCTGCTCTTTACACAATGTGTAGACTTGCTGCAGGAGCTGTCGGCTGTAATTTGGAAGCTCCATTGTTTATATATAATCTGTATTATATTATGTATTCTTGAGGTTACCTAGAAAAAAAAAAAAGCACATAAAACCCGCTAAATAAAAAATGATAATTTTCTAGAGCACAATAACAACAGTCTAAGGCTGAAAGACACTAAAACAACATTATAGTCCCACCCAACCGGCCACACAAGTTAGGATCTGACCATGAACAAGCTTCCATCCTGCAGGCTCCCATTAGGCTGTAAAACAGGTACCCATGGCGTCTTCTCCCCCATGCTTCTGCATTCACAGCCCTGATGAGACCACTGATGGACAATCCCACTCCCAGAGTGTAGGGGAGAGTGCTGCCTGCTAGGGGAGTGGAGGAACCAGCAAATAAAGCGGTTTTCTGCAGCCCCCTAGATGTACAAGCAATTAAATTGTTACTAAACCCAGGACCCTGTATTTGCTATATCTGGTTGGTATCCCACAGAACATAGAAATGCAATTATTTTAGTAAATAAACATCAGTAGTTAGAGCAGTCTTGTGACTTCTATCAGTATCCAGCAGAGCACTGGTTAAAGCTTGTAGAAACTTTCATTCCCCTCACACTGTCCTATGAGACTGCAGGACCCCTGACCCTCTGTCTGGACAGTGCTGGTTGGCCCTGTGCTGATCACATGCACTCTCCCAAAAAAATAAACTCTCTAACAATACACTCAAAACTGAGCAGGTGTATCTTGCCCCCAAGGCTCTGTTCTATCAAGAGAGGAGTCAGGGACAGTGGAAGAAGGGGAGGATCAGAGAAGACAGGATTAAGCATCATTCTTTACAAAATGCAGAGGACTACCCCCTTACGTTCCACAGCGAGTATACCAAGCAGGCTTTACCCCAAGCAGGGGCTGACCCATGCAGGGAGTATTTTTATTTTACCTGGAGATGGCCTTTCAAGAATATGTAAACCCAACATTTCATATTCCTGATCTGTGCCTGCTGTACCATGTACCTGTAAAAGTATCCTGTCCTCTTTGTGTTGCTTCCTTTGCAAGAAATCCCTGCTGTTCCTGCCAGACACTATGCTCTTCTCTTAAAAAAAAAAAAAAAAAAAAAAAAAAAAAAGGGAGAATATGTATTCGTAATGTTTTTATATCTATACACAAATGTTTTGCCTTCACTTCTATTTTACACTGAAGTTGTTTTACAAGGTGAGGGTTTACATATAATTTAAGCAAATATCACATGGTTTTCAGCTACCTGGAGTCAAGTGGTCTTTCATATCATCATGGAGGGATGCTACTGTTTTCATTGGTGTATGTAAAGCCAAAACCTTTTCTGTTTTAGATGGAGTAAAAGAAGGGGTTATTTTTTTTTGCTGTCTCTGTCCCACTGGGGTGATTTCCCATCACTTCCTGTCTTGGAATCTAAACAGGAAATTAGAGGAAATGTGTTTGAAGGGACTGCAATTCTCATCATAGGAACAAAACAGTTTATATCTCCCCAGCTTCAAGGGAATACCATTTAAAATGTATTCACTGTGAGGAACACCAGCATTTACAGACTGAAGAAAACAAAAAAAAAAAAAAAATTAAAAGCACGATCAGATGATCTTCAGAGCAGAAAAACCACTTGACGCATTTTGGCTGTGTTTGAGCATTAATGCATGTCAATGCCCAGAATAAATGAATATTCTGGCCAATGGAATCCATGAACGCTCAAACGCTTGATGTGCCTAGATTTGTGGCAATATGTGGCTTTAGGCGTGTTTTTTTTAAGCAGCTTTTCTTCTGCCAGCAGTACTGGCACTCAGAGGAGAAAAGCAAACGCCCCGTGTGCATGAGGCCAAATGAAAACATCTCAGCAGAAAATTCTCTCAAAATTGCTTTTGAGAGATTTTTATGATCACCTCATAATGTGATCACTGTCTTCTTTGTACCTTGTTTACACAATGCTGGTGTAGTGAGCAGATATAGGCAGACGCGCTACATTTTTTGGCAAAGCACTGGAGCTCGCCTACTGTCAGCGCTGAGCACGGAACCACAGCTCCACTGAGGAGGTAGTTAGATGTGAATGAAATGTCATTTTGCCAATTTAACCACTTTAACACCATGCTTTTTCTGACACTTTTGTCTGATTTGTGAAAATCAGTATTCTTTGCTAGAAAATTACTTTAAACCCCCAAACATTATGTATTTTTTTTTTTTAAAGCCGAGGTCCTAAAGAAAAAAAATGGCGGGTGTTGCATTTTTTTTTTTATCAAACAGTATATGCTCAGTGGTTTTCTTAACCACTTGCCCGCCGCTCTATAGCAGAAACGCTGCTACAGGGCAGCAGGGCTGTGCAGAATCACGTATATATACACGTGATTTGTATTTCCAGGTAGAGGGTGCACGCACCGCCCTACTCCAGCCACTATTGGCTGCTAGGGATATCAATCACCAGGTCCCAGCCGGCACTTGGTGATCATAGGGGAAAGCTGAGAGAGGAGGGATCTGTATGTAAACAACACAGGTCTCTTTTCTGTCAGCATGGACCTACTTCTTTCAGAGAGATACAAAACAGCATGTCTCCCTAGTAAAACAGCACACAGTTAACCCTTTGATCTCCCCAGATGTTAACCCCCTTCCTGCACAGTGTCATTAGTACAGTGTCAGTGCTTTTTATTAGCACTGATCACTGTATTAGTGTCACTGGAGAGGTCAGTGGCAGTTAGTCAGTTCCCACCCAGTGTTAGAATGCCCGCTACAAGTCGCTGAGCACCGCCACTAGTATAGAAAAAAAAAATTAAAGTATATATACACCACCATTTGTAGACGCTATACCTTTTACATAAACCAATTTACACGTATTGGGATTATTTTTAGCAAAGACATGTAGCAGAATACATTTTGGTCTAAATTCATAAAGAAATTTGATATTTTAAATTTTTTTATTGGATATGTTTTATAGCAAAAAGTTAAAAAAAATTTTCAGCCTTTTATTGTTTATAGCGCAAAAAAAAACAAAAAAAAAAAAAAACCGCAGAGGTGATCAAATACCACTGAAAGATAGCTCTATTAGTGGGAAAAAAAAAAAGACATAAATGTCATAAATGTCATTTATGTACAGCATTGCATGACTGTCAGTTAAAGTAATGCAGCGCCATATTGCAAAAATGGCCTGGTCAGGAAGGGAGGTAAATCCTCTGGAGGGCAGGTGGTTAAACACATTGTTTTGGGAAAAAATACACTTTAATGAGTTTTAATGAGCAAAAACACAATATAATACCCGTACGGTTTGGTAAAATATAAAAGACGATGTTACGTCAAGTAATGGGATACCAAACATGTCACGCTGTAAAATTTGAGCAAGCCTATGCAACAGCTACAAACTATGTACATTTTATTATTCACAGACTATGCTTTAAAAAATGCTTTTAGACTATGCTGTTTGGTGTGATTTCTGTTTACATATGCGTGCAGGACTGACATGTGCATTCACATTTGCACACGAACACAAGGGAAAATGGACACTATTTTTTTTCCCCATTTTTTCCACTGTCTCTTTAATTTCTTTTTTTTTTGTGCAATCACAAGGAATGTAAATATCCTGTGATAGCAATAGACAGTGACAGATTCCCTTTACTGAGAGATTTTGGGACTATTAGACCCCAATCATTCCTCTGTCCTTAAAAGCTTTGGAGCATACCAAGATCGGTATGCCCTGATGCTTTTTTCAACCCACTAAGGGTTCGTTTACAATTGCAAAACAGGATGTAAACAAAGGCTTGTTGCTTCTGGTTTCTTAGACCATAGAGATTATTGTGCCATTCCTGTCCCCAATTAGCTGTATGGTCAGCTGGCTGTCGAGTTAGATCTCCCGTTAGGATGAGAGAACCTGTGCATAGCCATGGAAGGGGATCCCCCCCCTGCTGCTTATAAAAGCAATCCATTGGCTAATTAGCTGCTAGGATTGCTTTTACAAGAAAGCCAAACCACAGCCTGAAAAAAACAACAGCGGGATGATAGCAGCATGTCCTTATACATGCATGGCCTAATCTTTGAGCAAATGCCACTGTTGAAATCAACCAGGTAGCCGCTAGGTGGAAATGGCGTCCGCCCCATGTTCAGACGGGCCCAGGAAGGGGGGCATGCTAAACTGCTGGTGCCGGCACCTGTGCTGAGGTGAAGTTGGGGCAACGTAGAGTTGAGGGGCCCTCGTGTCGGATGGCACATGCTGCTGTCACGTTCTCCCATGGGTGTGAAATGCCTTTTCGAGACTGGAGGATGCCGGAGAAACTCTGCATTCTGCCACTGGGATGGCCGGGGGGGGGGGGGGGGGGCGCAGAGCCTCCCCCAAGTGGGCTCTTCTGTTCGGCCCTCAGGTGCGTTTTTAAGGTTGATTTTTGTTCCGGTTGGGAGAAACAGCAATTACAATAAACCAGAGTGGATGAGGCCTAAAGGCTCAGGCACCGGGGCTGTCATCTTGATCCTGGGGAATCCCTGACCTGGAACAAGAATGCAGCCAGCAACGTCTGAGCTGTCATCCTGCATGCTGATCCTAGGTCAGGGAGTGCGAGAGTAATGAGGCCAACATGTCACAGATGGAGGGGGGGGGGGGGGGGTAATGTGAGCTGTCTTCTTCCAGAGGACAGGCTGAACAGATGACATGAGGAGTGAAGTGTCTCCATACACAGGAGGGACCCCTGTCAGTCTCTCTGCGAAGGTCCAGCATGCTGGAGCTCCTCCATCAATAATAATCACCATCCCTTCCAGCACTGGGCTCCCTGCCCCCACACCTGACCACTAACAGGCACAGTACTGGCTTTTATCTGCTCATTCACGACAGTAGCAGGCCGAGCCCGTCCAGCAGGAGGTGCAGGCAGGCCATGCTGGCCCTTGAAGCCCTCCAGCTCTTGCAGGGCCTAGTCCTCTACAGGGAGTAGTCAGTTCCAGCACCGGCACTGCCCTCCGCCCCACTCACCGGTTCCGCTCTCTCAGTGACAGCGCTCTGTTTATCTTCCGGTGTCGGTTTCCTGTCACACCTCCTGCTCCTTCATGTC